GCAAGGACACCGTGTGAGCGTGAAATTTTCATCTTGATGTGCCTGGATTTTTCGAGTTGGATTCGAATCGAAACAAAAGTCTTGTTTTTTGCGAACTGTCTAAACATCTAGTAATGTGCTGCTTGATGAGAAGTTCTGGTTTGCAGAGGTGAACTGGCTTTCCCAGAAGCACTACCGGTGAAAGAAAGAAGGCCTTCGCTGCGGAGTTATTTATTAGTAAATGCTAACTGACCAATTACAGACTATCGGACAAGGAAGAAAAACTCTCATATGCATCTTGGTTACAAAGACTGAACATCCATCTTATCTTGAAAGCGTCTTCCTTAAATCTCCTGGATATTCGTCGACTGTTGCTCAAATCCAAGCAAATGTTACAAAACGAGTCCACAAATGTCGTAACAGATCGCCCTTTCCAAGAGAGGCAAAGCTAATCTACAATAAAACATACTACTCGCATGCCTTCCCCATCAGTAGTATCACAGTTACACCGGTAGCCGAGTTGGGTTTGGTCATGGCCTCCCGCCCCAAAGCTAATGAGCGACCTTTCATATCATTATTAATATTCTCTATTCAACGGTTAGTGATGTAAAAACGCAAGGGTTGAACTGAAATATTGTGCAGTACCTTTCAACGCGCTTGTGAATATCACTATATAGTGTGTTTCGTGCTTTGGTTCTCGCACGACAGTACCCTCCAAAAATTGATTTTTTTAAAATTTTATAAAATTACACACATAGCTGAAGTAAGCGTGAAGGTTGAACATTAAGAAGAGTGTTTCTTGAATATGGCACCTTCTGAGTACACTTCACCAGTCAGCAATGTTACGTGGTGTCAAAATTTTCACAACCAGGGCTTTTATTCCCAGCTTTGGCTGGGAGGTTGGGGTTTTTTTATGACAAATTTACTATTGCATTCATTGGTACACTGCATATTTTGCTGAACGGTTCTGGATTTGGTGAACCTCCCCACAACATGGTTACAAATCTATACATGGAAATTATCTGATCTACTGTATGGTCCTCTGAAAAAAAGCAACACGTATCTAACCCATTTTCTCGGCTCAATGAATTCAACCCAGTCGAAGCTTAGAGGTTAACAACCATCCAACACAGATGTTCGATATTCTAATTTGATACTTCACTTTTCGGAACCTGTACAATCTTGCAAACTGTATTGCCAAATATCAGAAGACAACCACATTAGTCCTCTCAGTTCTCATTATTAATATTTGGAAGATGAACAGAGCTGGTGGAAATAGGAAAAGTTCCCACTCACGAGGATTTATTTTGGACGCTTGGTGATCATAAAAACATGTGTTTCCGTGATTTTGGTGTTCTGTTCAAAGTGTTTTCAACTAACACCTTCATTTCGCCTTCTCAATTAGCCCCTCAGATTGAGTTGAAGGTAAACGTTGAAACCAATCCCCCAAGAATTACTTGGAGCATTGATGCAAACCTGGGCATAGAAGCTTTTCAAATAATTGTGTGGGACAAACCAGACTCTGAGGAAATCATCCCTGTGGGCTCCGTCACAAGTTTGGAACTTACAGACCTGGCCAAGTGTATTGAATATACGGTGCAAGTCATGGCCGTTAAAGAAGGACTACCTTTACTTGAGATCTGCTCCGCTCCAGTGAGCTTCACAATTCTAGAAGGAGGTAAGTTGATCTCCACCTACGTTGTTTGTTCTCTGCAAGTTGTCCATTGGTAACTCGATATACGAACTGAGATTTGTTGAATTGTGTCTAACAGTAGAACAGGCAAAGCAACTCTACTGTGGAGCAGTGATGGTTTTAGGATATTTGAAATGACCGATGAAACTCGCTGATCGGTCTGATTTTAGTGTTTATTAGGTGCTCACGGAGCGTATATAAAATTTTACGTTTCCAAAATTAAGGCACTGGTTTTCCACGAGGTTCTTAGCTTCAAAAATGAAACTACCTATTTACCCCTTATTGTAGGGTCTTGTACACTTGAGAGATTACCTTGTTTGTTATTAGAATTATGTGAAAAAATTGGTGTAGACAGGGGTCTCTTACTTTGTTTCCCCATAACGGCGATTGGTAGACAGCATAGATGAATCAGCAAGGCAAACAATGAACCGTTTGTGATTGGCAATTATCAACTCAAAAATTTTGAAACCGACCACTGCGATTGGTAGATAAATCCGGATGCTTCACCGACTTTCAGTTCTGAATAACTGGAGGTCTGACGGACCGTCTTTGAACTGATTGCGTGATTCGTTCGTTTGAAGTTTCTAGATACTAATTCACGTTAAGCTTAAGAAATGAGTCGCATTCAGGAGTTAAATCCAGTTAAAATTAAAGTTAACCTTCAGTTTAGGTCGCCGCATTCTCTGCGTCCTTAAATTCACATTATACTCTGTTATCTGGCCGGAAGCCTGTGTACCATAAGTACCGATAAGTTGGTTATTAGTATGGAGTTGCTCTGAGTTTCGTTACTTTTTCACTGTCTCAACTTTGTATCATGTTGACTTGCCGCAATTAATAATCTATGGTAGGGCTGTTCTTGCAATTAGGCGGTCTTGTTATCGCAATTTTGTAGGATTTTGGCCAATATAAATGGCCTTCGCCGGCCCCGACTTAGGTGATAACCATTGTATGCATATCACACGGCCAGCAGAGAACTTGTTTACCAGCGTCGTTTTTAAAAAGCTTCGTACGCACTGAGAAGTTATAGAATCTAGCAACAGAATGACTGTTATATCGGAAGCTTTGCATCACTTGTTCTGCGTGGTTTTTGTCAGCCTAACAACCACTTAGCTCAAAAGGTACACTACCGCTCTTTCGGCATAAAGAAATACAGTCCAGTAGTATGACCTGGCATTTTTCAAGATACACTTCACAGTGAAATTTGGGTAACATTCCTACCACTTACAACACTACTGAATGATGCAAATCATGCTGTTGTATTTTCACAAGATTGGCGCGTTTCTATAATTTGTACAGTGGGGCTTGTTGAAACCGTATCCAGACTCGTTTCTTGATGCGTTTGAATGTCTGGTTTTTAGTGCATTTTTGAAGGTGTAAGTCATACTGCGTCACCTAGTCATTTAATTATTTTTAGCAATCCACTGGTCCATTCACGATGATTTTGAAGATGCGGTCGAAAAATGCCCAGCTGCATAGTGTTTTATGAGCACTGAGACTCCCTCAGGGGTCCACAGGGGGTGCTCACGTGACGATATAGTGGGAGCTGTAATCTCTGGTCCACAAAGACGCACGTTCCTCATCTACCTCTGACTTGTTGATCACGTAATAGTAAATTGGGTTGCACATTGACCAGGTAGTCTAACAATGAACAATATATCAGTCCAAACCTGATATCTACTTGGATACGGGCTTTAAGGTTTGATCGGATCTCGAGAAGCTCCACAAAATATGGCTGGTGGTCTCCTTTGGGACTTACTGGACGACCAGAACGATATGGTGAACGAGGTTTGTGAGCCAGTTGTTTCATGCAATCACTCACAGGACCGGATGCAAAACAAAACCGGATGCCTGTCAAACCGTTCAGGCACTAGCGTAGTTTGTAAAACAAATCTTCATTGGGTCTCGAAAGAGACCTAACAATTACCTAGCTTTGAGCCTAGAATTCGGATGCTAAGCCCCTAAGAGACAAAAAGTACTGGAGGTAGGAGGGTTCGAACCTACGTTATTTGCGATAGGTATGAAATAACCACTAAGTCTTCTTGGTCTTTAGGGTACAAAAACCCTCCTTGATGGACGAATTTTCGGTTGACGTTAGACCGTGTCATTGAACTGTTTATTTCGTTCCCAACTCACTCATATTTCAATAAAACCAAATGTAGCTCAATGTACGATTTTATGCTAAGGCCGTGATCTCAAAGCAAGTAATAGGTTAATTAGCCTAAACGCACGATCTAGGCGTCCTATCTAACGTTTAGTCCAATTCACCAACGGTCGGTCAGTAATAATTGCGACGAAACCGAATTCTACGAACTTCACCTGCGTTTGTTTAGTAGTCGCAACTGGGCAGTAAACAATATATTGAACTGGACTTGGGCAGACGGTATAGACAGATAGACTGTGCTTCTCTTGGAAGTTAACAGTGAATCGTGAGGAGAATTAAAGAAAGGCTTACGGCTAGATTGAACCTTGGGCAGTTGGCAACACAGGATAGCACACGAAGAGCAGTGTGCTATCGGACAAATTAAACGGGAAAATTGTTGTTCAGTTCAAATTGGGACAAAAGTTCAACAAGAAGCCCAGAAATAAATGTAAACAATTCGTCTATAGAAAACTTGTTTAGGTAGAGTCAACATTGTATAAAATAGAACAGTTCAGTCTTGAAAGTTGAGCGGTCATGGAAGGGAGATGTACTAGCCTGAGGAATGGGGAAACAAATAATTAAGTCACGTAATTAACACCTGGGGGAATTTTCATAAGGATTTCTAGTGTCAGAAATAACTGGTTATGCTCAGTGTGTGTTTCCTTCCCCCATGTGTTTGATGTGCGTTTTGTAATGTATACAAAGTTAACTAATTTCGGAAATCTACCGGTTTCTTGTTACAATATAATATATATATATATATGTATATATGTATATATACTTTAGACCGAAGAGCACATGCCTGATGCGAGTAGCTATGTCTGGAAATGGTATATGCAACTGGTCTTCTTTACTCCTTTGTTACTGAAATACTATCCCATTATAAGAAGTGTCCCAGTAATATAGTTAACATTAGCAAAGTTGAAACTATCGCGTATGATATATATATTATATATATATTATATAACCAAGCATCTGGAACGATTCGTTTGCTTTTTGCTTCTTTAAGTGTATACACCCAAGCTGACAGTTGAAAATACAGCACCCGATGAGGTTCACGCCAGTTGGACAGAGCCAACCAGCTGTCAAGCGTCTGATTACATCTACAAACTGAGTGTTACTCACGCAGGGTCCGAACCCAGGACAATCACGAAGCTGTTTCCAACGACAGGTAAGGAACGTCAGTTTGATCGAAGTAAAGGAAGATGCACGTTTTTCAATCCTCCATATAAAGCATGTTTGCAGATGTTGGGTTTAGTAAAATGGCGTTCTACATAGTCTCACCATCAAGTTTGTGAAGACTTCGTTTATAATAACACATTATTTTGAATTTCGTAGTTCCTCATTTGTGAATACACATCTGAATGTCCCATCGGAACACTACAAATCTCATATATACTATACTGGACATAATATGTCTGTCCGAAATGGTGTTTGTATTCAACCCTCACTGGGATTTAAAGCAACTTGATTGCAAATCACCTAATGAGCTTTGTACTTTTCGGGGGCAAAATTAAAGTAAAAATCGGGAGGGACGAAAGGAAAATCTCTTCACGTTAATCGGTGCACAAATGTCCCCATAGTCCCGTGCTCTACATGGTTTCTTGTCCCAAGCTGTTAGGGTAGTGTAGTGCTTTGGTGCTTAAAGCTCAACCTGAACTGTGTCCGAAGACAATGCATCAACAGTCCAGCAAGGAAAAAGAATTATTTAACCACATGATTTGTGTCTGAGATAATGTATAAAACGCCAGGTATCAAGATGTAATGCGGCTGTCGTTTGCAAGCTTCAAAGTGATGTGTTCATTTATCTAAGAACATTCTGATATCAATAGACACAAACAGACATGTGGGTAACTCATGGAACTCACTTTCTGTCTGTTCGACTGCTTTGAGGGAGACGCCATTTAGCATTTCTTGTGATTTATCATACGGTTCTTTTGGCAGTTGGTCAACTGGCCCGTAAACATATTTTTCTGACATAAGATAGTTGTCTCCTTTGGTATTCTGAGCGGTACTGATTGGAAGGTCCGTGGTTAGAAACCGACCTCTGTCTCTCACGAATTCCCCTGTATATGGTTGGGTAAACTGACAGTATCCCAGAACTCCGGCTTCCTTCTGATAGCATGGCAGTTAGGCATCGAAAGAGTGCTACAGCTGAACGCTTTTGTTCTCCAAGGTAAATAGTTTTATGAGTGCTCCCTCCTGCAGGTTTCCATGTTTCCAAGTTTCCCCGGAATCTCGTACTATATCCAGAAGAAATCACTGTTTCTTTAGCGAATAGGAGGCCCACAACTTGTGAGTGGCAACACCTTGCGCTCCAATCTCTATAAATCCAACTACTAATTCGATATTGGTGTCTTCTTTCCATAAAATCTAAAGTAAGCAGTTTTCAAAAATTCCTTCTTGAAATATGTTAAGGCTGAAGACTGCTTGGTGCGTTTGTGATCGGATGGTACAAAGAACGCCGCCATATTAATTGACTTTGCTGTTCTCTTGGACTTGACATTCCATAACTTGACTTGGCATCTAATCCTTTTTTGGTTGCATTCTCCAAGGAACAATAAACCACAAGCAGTTGATTTGATTTACTTTTCTGATTGTGTACATCTCCTCCCTTCCGACAGACCACACTTTCAGAGATCTGATGCACTGCACAGAATACACCTTTACGTTAAGCTTTCAAAATTCTAAAGATCCCAACTTGAATGGAATACTGGAGCCGATTACGCTGAAAACAATGCCCGAGAGTGAGTTGGTTTTACAATTGTCCACTCCATTTGTTAGCCGCGTGGTCGACTGCGTGAAGCGTCCGTGAGTTCACCATGATAACAAAAAGAATTAGTCATTGTGAGCCTCCTGGTCCACCGGATATATTCTCCTACGTATGCCAACTTGCAGGAATTTCCATCGAGTCAAGGAAAACGGTTCAAAAGTATATTTGTGTTGAATAACTGTCTAGTGGTAAAACACTCGATACCCTTCGATTTTTGGAACACTCATAATCTCAAGCACTCGTGAGGCATACCTCTTTCCATGCACAGCGCGTTCTCAGCTATGAAAAAGTTACATGTTTTGTGGAGCACAGTTCTCTTAATGCCTTCTGAATACCGTAAATCCGAGTCTGGATAGCCACTTGATAGCCTGATACGCTTGACCGAACCAGAAAGCCAGTGAATGTGCGAATCAACTGATCTACTGAACACCGACGAACACACTCGTATCATGTGTAGCCGAAAACGGGGTGCTTATAAAGCACACGTAGGAAGTTCTAGGCGGGCCAAATGATACCACTAATAGAACTCACTTGGTAAAGACAGTTGAAAAACTGTCAGTTAAATCGGTCCCAACGAGAACGCTTATTCCGTTGGAAGTTGCTTATTCCAGTTACGTTCGGTCCTCCCAATTAAAGCATGCGTTGGTGGGAGTTCGTTTTGAATGTTCAATAAAGCCTGCAGTACTGAATCGCGCATACGCAAGCGGTGGTTTGGTATGGATTTTGTTCCTGTTGGCCAATAGCCAAGAGGAATCCGGAACTCCCTAGATGCACACTGTTTATGAATGCCAAGAAGGCTGAAACAGATGTGCACAGCTCTTTGTCCTTTTGGCACAGATTTGCTTCTGCAGTAGAAAGATGACATGAATATTACTCACCAGCAAGGTGTGCATTTCCGCAGAACTACTGGTTTGTAAATAATACGGAGCACAAGGAATTCTAATGTAGACGTTCAAATAGATTGAACATACGGTTTCGAAAGTCAGTACTCAAAATACACGAAATGTTGACGATATGGTGAGGGGACATGGTAATTTTCAATGGATAATTCTTCTTGTCAGTGCAGCCGATCTTTTTCTGAAAAGCCCGAAAGCACTACACAGCTGTTCCGTTTTTTTGTTACCAACCGCTTCCTTAGCTCGGAGCTTTGGATTGTAACTGGGATGAGACCTCCAGAAATTTTGCTTGGTTCTTTTGGACGTTCATAAATTATTATTGATTAAACTTGAGTTAGGTTTTTGAAACAGAGCTAGCACTTTCTGCTGTCACTGGGCGAAGAAGAGCAGTGGCCTTTGGCCAATTACTAGGGCAGTGTCCAAACTGAAAGAAAAGGTCCCTCCAAGTACAGGCCACTGTGACCGAAACGCGCAGGTTTATCATTACCATGGGACGGTCTGTAATCATTGGAGCAATTCAGTGTCAAAATGAGTCATTAGCTTAAGCAAATCAGCTCTTATGCGGTCCGAAGCGTACGTAATCAATGATTCGGCTGAGCTGTTCTCTGCGTATTCTCGCTTTAGGAATTCCTGAACCAAGTTAGGTGGTAAACAAACATTCCACTACCTTACTCTGTCCACAAATATTGCTTATTTTAATGTCGCAACTAATAAAATGAGCACCATCCGTTGCGGAAGATCACAGTCTACTGTCATTTCCGATGCAATTAACGCGGACATTATGATCTGGGTGTGAAAACTCTTAATTTTGTGATTTCTTTTGTTTCTGATTCGTCATTTGTTTCCGATATTTACTTGTTTATTTCCGCTATCTCATCATTAAGAAGCTCTTTTTTGCAAGACTGTTCGGAAGAAATTTCTACCAGTATCACTTTACCATGTAAATGTTGCGACAAAGATTTCATTTGCTGTCTCTGAATACTCGTTAGTATTGCCGTTCCACCCTGCAAAAATTAAAGCGTCACTGTTGTTGAAATCGGTCAGCTAATTTCCTTGTTTTAGCGGGTCCCGGTAGTGTTATTGGGATCGAATACACCTGAAAACAAATTATGAATCCTCGGAGGAGTCGTGTGGTCTACTGCTGGCTTGCAGTCTCTCTCTCCAGATGTTGATGCTTTTGAGCAATCGCATTTGCTATGCCTCAGGAATGTGAAAGTTTACCACGCGTAGCATATGAGCCACTAACCTTAGTCAAAAGAATTTCGACGATGACGTATCAACAGGTTAATTAGAAACAAAGCGTAAGAGCCAACGTATATCAAATATTACTAAACATCCCTTGGAGATATTTGGTGAATTTCTGCAATCGTTCCTTGGCACTAAGTGACTTAGTTCGAGTGGCACAATGTGACGGTGTGACTTTGGGTTTGGGGATTGAAGACTTTAAAAAGTCAACGCTGAAACTTTAAAACTTTTGGCTGCTCACAGATTCAGTTTTTCCTATCGCACACAAAACTGAAGCGTCAGTTCATCAGCTCCCCTTATGTTGTTTGAACTGTATGCTGGTTTGGTCTTTTGGTTACTACAAATGAGTCAATCTCATCGAACAGTTCAGTCACTAGCTGAACATTCTGACATACTCTTATTTCCCTCGTGCAATACCTGTGCGAGACTGTTTTTGAGTTGATCAGAGCTTCCGAACCTGATACCTAGTTAGGCAGCTTATGCTTACAATTAGCGGAGGAGTGGAAAATCACTGCGATTCGTTTCCATCGGAGAGTACAGAGGTATACTGCCATATCTTGTTACTTCTCCGACCTTCCTGGTGCTGCCTTTTGGGGGCAAATTTGGGACGTTAGTGTATACTTTAGTAGCAATAGTTTAGTTTACCATACATTTACCAACACCTTCGTCTGTAGGATGAAAACGGTATCAATAAGCCATTGGCTAAAAATTGGAGAGAAATTACCTTTGTTAACTTGACTGCTGTTGGAAATTACACCAGTATCATCATTCTCGTACCACATGAGGTCGATGATTACCGCTGAATCGTCAAGTCCTCAATCTCTCGATGCTTCCTAGTTGGCTATCAGAATTATCCGTTGACTTCCAAATGCTTTTGTATTCTACAACAATCTCATTCGATGCAACACATAGTGGAATCAAACGGCTATTGATTCTCTAGGTTCACACTATTAACACTCACTGAGCTGGCTTTTGGGACGGGTCCCACTTGTTCTCTTCCTTCACGAATGAGAACCCGTCAGTTACAACTATTACAAGCATTATTCGATTGTTTCATTTTTCAAACTCGGGGCTTTCCGTTGCTTTAGTCTGTGGTTGTAGTTACCTTGATGTACAGGACGATCACGTTCCCAAAGCAGTGTCCCGGCCGAGTGATTTTAATTCAAACGGCTGAACAGGCAAACCATGTTTCTAAGTATTTAGTGAGTCTAAAACCAAAAAAATACATATCAGTTCTTATAACAAGTTCACAAATTACTCTCCCCTCATTCTTCCGTCTCTCATGCTCATCACATATGTTGAACGCCACCAAGAATACTCCGTTACCCTTTTTTGTCTCCCGTATCTCTCTTGTAGACCTTGAGAGTCCGACCCACCTGAGATTGTTAGCGATGAACGCGTCACATCTCACACTAAGTTGGATAGAGAGCGCGGTTTGGGATATCTGTGGGACCGTAAAACACGTTGTCACCGTCGTTCCCCTTGATGGAGATCCTCCCACAATTGTCACAGTGGATGGCACCTCGGCAACTGTCTCAGTCAATGAATGCAGTTGGTATGAGATCTATGTGCATATGGAAACTGCCGACTCCATGTTCCGCAGCGCCAGGTCAAATGGGATTGTGTTGCAGTCTCCACTAAGACGTAAGTGTTGCTGCTTCTAGCTATTCAGTGAACTGCATGACTTTGAGGTTTCTGTGGTTCACTCAGTTGCATTTGTGTCCCAATGGGGACACCGCGTCTGCCTTCTCGAATGATGCGCTGATTTCAAAGCTCCGATTCAGTATTGTGTAAACTCTTTAGCAACAGATTGTTATTAATGACGCAGTTTTAAATAACTTAACATGATTCGCATACTTCTCTGGCCCATTTGTTTGCAACCCACTGCACCAAGTATGTCTTAAGCTGATTAGCATAACACCGCTTCACTTTTGCTTCCTTGAGCATAGTGTTTAAGAATTCGGTAGAAGAATTCAGCACACTTTGGACAGCATTTGAGAAAGATATTTTTTTCAACTTCGCACTTGATCGGTATTTCTTGGTCAAGATGCTGCTGAACTGCGACCTCCCCAGATAGCACGATTCAAGTGATTTCTTGAAGCGCGCGCAAAATTTATCAAGGTCGACCCCCTCATTACCCTTGCAACTTAACATCACGTCACAGTTACCACGGCCAACTATTCTGACTCACGATATGTCAGGTTGAACCGTGCGATGTTGGATAAACATTATTCTATTTCAAACATGTTTCCATTTCCCTTCAATTTCTCAGCATACGGCGTGCCTGATTTTGAGATAGTGAACTTAAATCCTGGGATTCAGAAAATCAGTTGGAATGGTGGAGTTGAGTGGACCAGCGAGTGCGTTAGAAAATACGATGTGACGATAAGTCCCGTTAAATCCCTGGGGAAAGAATTCAAATTCACCATGTTATCTGGCGATCCTGGTAAGTCGTTTTGATTCAGTAGGTTTCATGTTGTAAGTCGACCGCAATAATGAGGCCATCCACACAACAACACATGTTTAATGAATTACAGGATGATTGGAGGGAGGACGAATAAGTGTTTAGCGGGTACCAACAACCCAGTTCATGGTTAAAACAAAAGTTTGAAACTTGCTTTTCTGCATGTGCTGAATGACAGGAATGTCAAATTCACGTTGAGGTGTTGGGACCGCTCGGGCGAGTAATAATCTATTCTGCCAGCCAAAATTTCATACATGTCAGTTGGTCAGATGGTAGACATCAACGTGGGATTCAAATGATATCAACACTTGCGTAAAATATAACCCAGGCTTCCTCTACTTAGAAATACCTGTCTGTTGTTTTGTGTTCTGCCACATGGTCAGTCTAATGATATCAGTCAAACTACTAGTAAACAAAAACGTATTACTGATCAAACCAATGCATGATCGGCTGAGTGAGTTCAGTTAAATGTGTCCCATAATAAAGTGACCAAAAACTCAACTATCAAGAATCAAAATCAGAATCGGCTGACCTCTTTTCACTTGACCACATCCTTGTTATGAATATCCGGGTGATTTTTCAGCCAATGGTTAGACATTTCTCAGGAATGACGAGTGAGATTCCATGCACAACTTGAATGAACGCGACCCAAAGAGAGTTGGTGAAGGCCATTTGACAGGCTACGACCGGTTTGGTTTTTCTTTCAGCCCTTTGGGCAGCCACCATCTCAGAGATTTGGTCAAACGTACAGTCCAAATGAAACCAAACTGGACGTAATTGACAAAATTCAGCCATTCGCAAACGAATTTGGTTGTGACGGAAGACAGCTAAATTCAAATGCACCTATCGTTTTACAATTTTTTCAACTGATTGTGCTGCGCAAACGTCGCTTTGTCGTTTGTGTGATCTTCAATATCTTAAGGACTGATGAGCCCCATGGAGGGCGAATGCTTCCACAAGCTGTCAAACACTTCTCAGCAGCCTTATGGATAATATTTTCCGCCCAGTCAAAGAACTGCGATATTTCGAATATCATGCCAACTCACAAATAAGCTGGCATTTTTGCAGCTCATTCTGTTAAAAATATTAGGAATGTGAGATTCATCTGGGGGTCAGTTGAAACTCCTCCTGTTAAAAATAAAAACAAATGTTTGCAGATTAACCACTGACTTTCAGTATCTCGATATCCGGCTGTGGTAAAACACCCTCGTATATGTACAGATCGCCATCTATATTGGAATGTTTGACAACCGCGTTGTGTGGCAATCAACAACTTGCTTGCGAGATAAACAGTCAAGAGACTGAACCACTATCATGAGTCCCACATATGACAAGTATTTTGTCCCGCCAACCTCCGTTAGCTAATTCCTTGTATTTCTAATTTTCATTCCTACAGGCCTCGAAACCACGTTAGGTTCAGTTCGAATAGCTGATATATGATATATCTCACCAGACTGTTGACGAATAAAATTAGGAGTCTATTCATAAACTGGATTTTTAAAGCCACTTGACGTCTTGTTTAATAATATTTATCTATTTCTTCGCAGGAGCAATAACTGGCGAACTGTTGCCATGCACTGAGTACCAGTATACCGTCAGTTCAGGTTCCGAATCTAAGACAAAGATATTGAAGACATTGCCATGTAAGTCAAGCTATTGGTTGCTACCGGCACCTCTAGATTCAAAGATTTTAATATGACTTCGGCATTTATTAATAACCCTGCAAAATGCCCCCTCCTTTCCTGTTCAGCAAGCTTTTTGCCGACAGATGTGACGGCTGTGATAAATTCACCGAATGCCCTTAAGGTCAACTGGGGTGCTCCGCGCTGCGTGGAATCCATTGGTGATGTCCACTACTCCGTAACTATCAGACCTTCGAACGAGGGTTCGGAGACGATGAAGCAAGAGGTGGCTAAGGATTCCTTGACACAAGGGGCTGTGGAATTTCAAGTAAAGCCATGCACTGCCTATCTTGTTTACATGGAAGCTGATACGATGGGTTTGAAGGATCGCTCAAAACTCATCATGGTGAAAGATGGCAGTAAGTCACTTTAGCGGTTTTTGTTTCACCCATTAAGAAGTCAAATCATGCCGAAAATGGTCAGCAAATTGGAATGGCCGGCCAGCCTTCCCTAAAATTCAACAGGGTGCACTTAACCTGAGAAAGACGAAGCACAGTAACGCCAAATACAGTGAACGGTTTTGGTTTTCTAAAGTTTACATTGGGTCTAAACAGCATCCTTACGTGTATAGACGTCATGCACTACACATAAGGTTGCTAAAAATTCGTCGACAGTACACGATCGATTTCGCCCGTTTTGCGGCTCATCAGGTAGGCGCAATCCCCGAGTTTCCATCAACCTTATGTTCTACTTGAAACCTAATTTCGTGACATGAGTGAAATACACTCATTTGTTCGAAGGAGCGAAAACGAAGGATTCAACTGGATTCCAGGTGAGTCTGTCGAAAAACAGCCTAGTTTGCTTGCAAATGAGTGTATTTCGCTGGCGTCATTACATGACGATGCAGCTGAATATGTAGCTATAATCTTCCTAGCGCAGGCTGAATCGTTAAATCCATAAAATAAAGAAATAAATTTTACCCACTTTCCGAAGTCCTCAACAGCCACCTGCTCGCTATTGTTCTTCTAACCTTTTTTGTTGGTGGAGACCAGAAGGGTGATGAATGTTCTCTTTCCAAACTAGAGGCTTGGTGGTTGGTGAATGATTGTATTGTCGCGAGCATTGGTCTACCACAACATTTGACGCACCTTTTTCTGTCTGAAAGCAAAAGTTTGCGGTTGAAACTTAACTGTTTGAGGTTTTTTTAGCAGACTTTTGTAAAGACCTATACACAATAACTTTTCATGTTTGTCTCTTCGTAATTCTATGTGATACAAACACATGACATGTTTTTGTTCGACTTAAAGACTGAACAGTGGATTGAAACGTATGATTTCTCTTGGAACAAATGTTCATTTACGTTTGTGACCCGCATCGCTAGAATTCATCGTTTAGGTTGCAATGGGTAAATTGCATAGAAAAGTGATTTTATGTACTAGGAAAAGCGGTGTTCGTGCAGAAAACGGACTGCCATGCTCTGACTTGCGAAAAAATGTTTTCTACTCACACTGCTTGGCCGGACGTTTTGGGGTTTTTATTGAGTCACTCTGACTCTCCCAGTTTTCTCTAATGATTTTAGGGCTTAATGTATCAAACTGTCGCCCCCTCATCGCCATCAATATCGCTAGGGTCAACACTATACTAGTGGTGGAAATTGATGGTTCACTACCATCAACCATGGACAAAGGAGATCTCAGTTAAGGGTGATAAATCAATACGACCGTAGAAACGGCGTTGAAAAACTAGGAGACTACAGTGTTGAAATAAAAGCAATAAAGCATCATGCTGAGACCGGACCCCTTCGGCGTGGTCGATTCAGCTTTTTTTGCGAACCTCACCAGACACAAACTATGCATACACTTCGTCTGGATAAAAAGAATACAAACACAACAGTGCACAGTTACGTGTCATATATGTTGTAGGTTTTCTGTTCAAACCGTGGATCCCACAGTATCCAAATTGACAGCAGCCAATTTCATTTCACGTTTCCGCGTCATGGCCTGTTCCGTTGATGTCCTTTGCAAATGGAGTCGAAATGTAGCAAGTAAAGAATCGTAGGCAAATCGGAGAGTCAGTATTCGGGTTTTTATAGAATACCGCGGATTTATGTAGACCGAACTGCATCAAAAACAAATGATCTACTGATAGTAAAAACAATAATTGATAACGGTCGACATGCGTAGATATCGTGCAACAAGTAAATCGTACTAACCTGATTAAATCTATATCTAATTAGAACACAGATTGGTTGAGGAACATGTTTTCGGCAAGGTCTTTTCAAGTCATACAATTGCGAAGGTTAAGAGAGCGGTATTTAACATATTTGAATGAGTATGGTGTAAATGGACAGGGAATCGAGTGAGATGACATTGGCTACCTATCAAAGAACCATTAGTTCAGGTCACCAATAGGACGGCTTGAGCCAGTCAGCTCGGGGGGTGTTGTAATTGTGTGTTCAGCACACGGTACACACGGTGGTACACTGAAACGATCGGTGAAAACCTACTTGGTCAGGTCAATACATCAACTTAAGCAGCTTCGTGCCACTAAAGCAGAACCGGAACCTGATCCGCAGCCTCACTAACAGAGCGAAGAAAATATGCTCTGAGGATGCACTGGAACACGAATGGCGAACTCTCACCAACGTCCTGAGAGACAATGGATTCCCCGACAAATTTATTACAAAACATTTGAGCAGGGAGGAAGCAAACACCAACACAGCCACAGCTGGAAGGAAACCAGTTTACACTAGCCTCCCGTTTAAGGGAGATATACCGGCCGATCTACTGAACAGAAGACTTTCCACCAGTCTGAACAAAGTTCTCCCGGCCGCAAAACTCTGCACGTGGTTCACCAGCAATCGTTTGTGCCACTTTAATCTCAAGGATAGAGTGCCTGTCCACGCCCAAAATATGTTAGTTTACTCATTCTCTTGCTGCTGTGCAGCGGAATACATCGGACGCACGACCAGGAAACTCGGCCAAAGAATGAAGGAACACAATCCACCCTGGCTAGCTTCTGGAACTAGGAGGACGGTAACCAGCTCCGAAGTACAACGTTTAGCTGACACTGCACACAACGTCATACCCAGCCAAAGTTTCCGCGTTTTTTACAAGACGCCGGCTAACCAACCTAGATCAGTACAGCAGCGCACAATTGCAGTGGCTGAAGCTATCGCCATACGACATCGCGACCCGATTCTTTGTCGGCAAAAACGCTTTGTTCGTGTGTTGTACTTACCATGGTCCAACTCACCTCCCCCCACACATGCACCGTGTGCTGTACACACAACTACAACACCCCTCGAGCTGACTGGCATGACCTAATGGTTCTTTGATAGGTAGTCAATGTCATCTCACTCGACTCCCTGTCCATTTACACCACGCTCATTCAAATATGTTAAATACCGCTCTCTTAACCTTTGCAATTGTATGACTTGAAAAGACCTTGCCGAAAACATGTTCGTCACCCCATCTATATCTAATTAGGACCATATTGAGCATGAATTACCCGATATTTTATCCATGGGTTTTATTTGTCACGTGTAACGTTCAACGCTACAGGTCTCACATATACCATTCAGCAGTACTGGTCACTTAGTTTCATGGAGATTTTATTGTGGCATTTGATTATGCGGAGTTATCGCTTGGTCATGCCTTAACCTAACCGTGCATACATTGTCAACTGTCCTCAGATGGTTGAAGTGACAACATAACATTCAGCTAAGCATAACATATACAGCTTAACAGTGGGCACTTCCGAAAGCGTGGATGGTTTTCATAGTGGAACAGCGGGTTCTAGCTTTAACTTCAACAGTGTTTATCATCAGCCCATATCTTGGGCCGTTCCAAGGTTTCACTACCAAACTTACAACAAGGGAGTCGAGCGTGGTACACTTATTCCACTGGTGTGTTTGTGACATCTGGATTACCACTCTTCAGTTCAACGTGGGATGCGAGCTTGTTTGGCGTTAACTGACTAGGCGGGGCCTGACAGGCGAGGCAGTCAATCGGTAATCAGGGCAGTTGCTGGGATTTTGGCCTGAGCATTTCCCCCGTTCAGACGTGATAGCTCAGATGCCCTCTTTGTGCGTTAGTGATGCAGCAGTAAAGTGCTCGCCTCGCGCCTCGGAACTTCGGTCATCAGTGTGAAATACAAACGGCGTCTGATAAGACCACAGTGCGAGATCCCGGCTTCCTAGTTTTAGAGTGGACCCATCAGTGTGCCAGGACAGCAGGAAAGCTATACACCAGAGGATGATGTTTCTGAGGTACATATCTCACTGACCCCATATAATCTCCGGAAGCCACAATTCAGTATACTGTCTTATTTGCTGGTTCAGATAAACTGCGTTGGGTAGGCATCAGACATCATTAAATATTCCATTATACTACACAACGACCATGGATATTTGTCTGATAGATGACAGTTTATCGACTGGAGGTACATCAATCTTCGTTTCAGTCGTGTGTCGTCAGTGTGTCACCGAAAGGTTAGTGGCTTTGGTAAACAAAGTTTCTCGCAAAAAACAAGTGACGTTTGCAATTTGAATATTATTCTCTCAGAGGGGAGTTATCACTACTGTCTGAAAACTTTTTTGTACCAACCCAGAGACATCGATTTGAATGGTCTGGCAGACATGTAAGCTTTTGGTTTACTTAGTCATTTTTTGGGAATTTTTCGGAATAATGTTATCAATGGCTCAGTGGTTAGAGCGCGAAATTAATGATTGAAAGGTCTAAGGTTCGAGTCTGATCTCTGCCTCTTGAAGTCGCCTGTCTAGGCTTAAGCAGCCTGGCAGTATCCCAGCTCCCGCATATCATTCTGGCGGCATCGCAATTAGGCACCGAAAGGGTTATACAGCTGAAGGGAGGAGAGAGTGCTTCCGATTTCTTCAAGTGTATCATGTTGTAGGAATTGACCTTCGAAAATAATAAATCGTGCGCATTTCTTGGACGTATAATAATGACGAGTAACTTCTTTTACATAAGGAATTGCGCGAACTCTATCATTTAGTCGGTTTTGTTTACTGCAGCAGATTTTATTTCTTCATAATTTACACCAACCATAGGTTTGCTGAAAACCCTTCAGTTTATTTATTTGTTAGTTTCTCGCCGCCAGATATTTCTTGTACATGCACTGACGCTTATGTCTGTACATGCCTGCGCGGTTGTGCGTGAAATCTTGGGTCGATCTAACATGAACTGTGGTCAAGACAAGAAAACGGCGAGTGGATCTGATAGTGATAGACTGGATAGTGTTGCGCTTCAAGTTCTTCAGCACGGCAACACCAAGATAATCCGAACGTTGTTCAGCAGTACGACTCTAATTCGCAAACAACTAAGCCCTAATGCGCGCAGCGAAGCTGTTGTATATCCTATGACAAACAGAAGTTGCTTTGATCCAACTGATAGCCAGTAGGTTGTCTACACCATACAACGATTCAGCTGAAAAGTGTTCGGCAATTTGTCAATAGTTTCACCATTCTTGGCGCTCATTAGATGTAGTTCCTGGAAGGCCATCAACCCCATGATTTAGTTGGACATCAAACTGTGCGAACATGACTAGATACACTTGGTTGTAGATTGCATTGATGTTCATGACTGAATCAAAAGTTTACGAGATTCTCTAACTAGGAATCAAATGAGTCTCTCATCAACATTGACATGGTTCGCAAATTAGTGTATTTCGTCACTTGCGTACAAATGGGGCTCAAACAGGACATAAGGTTAGTGGATACTCCCGGTCTCTGCTTACCTGATGAGTCCCAAAAAGAGAAAACTGGCAGTAAGCTGTCATTCCGTTTTCAGTAACCGTAAAAGTAGCGAATTCTGTTGAGAGAAAAAATTCCAACCCGGACGGAACGTAATTCTTGAGGTTGCTTAAAAGTCTTCAATTGCCCACAACCGATTTTGTCCTTCTTTGGGTTCATCATCTGGATGCATCAACGGGATTTCCGTGAACTTTATGTTCTACTTGGACTCCAACTAGTCGCATTGCTCAAAGTACGCTCTTTCGCAATGCTACTTGTTCAAAGGTAGTCTCCATTGAAATGAGAGTTAATTGGGTTTTGCCACCGTGGTGAATATGTGAGGGAGATCGTTTATCAGACAAGTGAAATAAAACTGACAATTTTATGAAGATTTCTCTGGTTTAATGAATAATAATTGCAGAAATTAGAAGAATTTTGGTTTTGAGAAGCTTAGACTGTCATTGGTTTGTGCACTGACCTGGATGGTATAATCAGGACATTCTTCAGGTTAGGCATAACCACCGGCGCATTGCTACTGGCAACGAGCAATATTTGATCTGTGCAGTTTCCCTTGCCTATACACATTTGCACTAGTTATTTTGATCACTGTCATTATTTTTTCACATGTGAGCGCCATTTTTGGCCCATCTGTTACTCTCCTCAATGTCACTGTCTTATGCAAGATATCGAAAAACCCAAAGTGACCGTCACCAACATCGAGCCTGGAGTGCAGAAAGTTAGCTGGACGGATCCAATTGCAGCACCGGAATGCAGGCACCTTTTTGAGGTACAACAAACTAATGTGTTCACTGGCGGGCAGGTTACAATCACAGTTTCAGCAACTGGTAAGTGGGTCGAATTGTTGTAAAAAGAATTGCAAAAAATGCTTACCCTATACTCTGTAATGTTTGAGAATAACGATGGTGTGAGAAATGACAGCAGTAACTGCGTGCATTATTTGCTCAGTCAGATGAATTCTCCCGTGAATGGTCGCGTTCGTCACTTGACAGAACAGATAAATTCTTTGGGAAGAAATGGAATCAACCAATTCGAACCCATCGTTGAGCCACATCGGGGAAACTGTAACTCGTTGCAACATATTTCATTCAAACGCTGTTGATCTAGATAGTACAAATGCTATCTGGTAATCCCACATGCCATAAAGGCTGAGAGCAGAAAGATTTCCATCCACAGACCGGATCTGCGAAACAAACCGCCCTGAAAGTGGGAATCGGTAGTGGCCCGGAAACGACTGTCCTTGATACATACAGCTTTGATTTGAATAATAACCTACGGTTGAGTTTTGGATCTGTACCAATTTGGTTTCGTATTTCTCAAAATGTTTACAGAAAGAATCTTCGTCGAACTGACACACTGTACCAATTACGAATACACGGTTCGCGTGGTAGGTGAACACGTCAGCGGACAAAAGTCAGATCCAGTGAGATTGGTCACCATTTCTCCAAGTAAGAATGGGTTTAACCTATAAATATTATCATTTTTCGGAAGTAATTTGGCTTTTTATATTTGTCTCGATTTCGGGCTCCAGTCCAATGATTCTAACCCGAGTTTCCACGATGGGTACATTTTCCCTGATGTACAGTAATTCCTCCGCTGTAAAAAGTTTGAAAACAGTCAAAAGGCCACTGGTTGTGCAGAGTTTTAAAATCTTCTTGACATCATTTAAATTATGTTTTATGCTAAACAACAATTTATTGAATGCTGTACCAGCCACGTTAATTATATCAAGACAAAGGTCTATATACAATCCAGTTTGATCAGTCAATCATAGGTAAGATTACTTTTGTAGACACTTAACGACAATCCGAAAAGTCCTACGTATCGCGAGAAAAAAGTCTGTGAAATGCGAACAGAAGTACACCGGGAGACTACTGCACGAAGAGCCAAAGCTGACTGGATGAAATCTGTCGTGACTACTTGCAAAATAGCAGTAATACGCTTCCGGAGGAAAATTCATATGTAGGGCGACATCAAACACTGAGTGGCAGCACACGAGTGTGCACCGTTGGAGGATGTGCGGGTCTGCAGTCCGAAAATAAATATGGATTACTGGACTGAAGTGCCGCGAGCTTGGTTCGTTAGCTAAACAACGCGAAGTACTCCAAATTAGAGAGACGCAGCTATAAGTTGTAGATCGGCTTGTCAGAATGTCTTAAATTCATTAATACGCAATCACCGACTCTGGAATGAAATTTCCTAATGTTCTCACTAACTGCTAAATATAGGGAGCTTGTTCGGTTATGCAATTATTCTGCGCTTTTCAGAGATGGATGGATTCTGCGGGGGAGGGGGTGAAATCAGGTGGGGAAATTAAAAAAAATAGGATGGAAATTAGCTAGTTTGGTAGACAGATTTACATCTTCCAAGTACCAAATTTCAGCGTACTTGAAATCAGGACAATTTAACTCATGTTTTATTATTTTATTCTTATGGTTCTCGAGGAATGAGGATCAGTCCAACTGAATAGATCCTTCTCATGAAAGAAGCTGATGTGCATGCAACTTCCGTTCACCCGACACCAAACGGGCTAAGTCGAAGAAATTCCGTATTCACTCTGGAAATGCTTCAAGATTGCGTATAAAATAATCAATGTTTTGCGAAGTTTTTTATGTTCCCCTTTACAATTTCCCATACAGAACCAGAAACACCAACTCTGATTGAAGTCACCGTCGAAGGTCCAACGTCTGTGAAGTTAACATGGAGCACACCCATACCCCATGACCACTGCAGCCATACAGGATACATTGTTACGGCTCAGGCGGCCAACGATCCGTCGATTCGTGCAACTACTGATTTGCAATATAAAACACTTACCGTGAAGACCTGTACTTCCTATCTTGTGGCTGTGCAAGCACAGTACTCCGATGGGTCATTGAGCGAGAAATCACAGTTCAGAGCTGTCACAACTCCGGCCTATGGTATGTGCACTATCCGCTGATCGGGCGTATTTCAATGCTTCCTTTGACTATTTGATGGTACATAGAGATCATAGGCATGCATTAGGTAAAATTGGTAGTTAGTTAGGCTATGGTCTATTGTCGCTTTCTTTTAACGGATTAAAGATTTCCGAACCCAGCATTAAACGGAAATCCATCTTCAATGTGAGCACATTGTCTTCGGATTAACACCTGAACATGGTTTTCTCAGTTTTTCCACCAATGAAAGCTTCTCTAGAAAGTTGGCATGCATACACGGAAACTGGTATGATTTGACCAACTGGTGCTTTCCGACTGACAGGCGAACTCACACACGCAGCTTCGGAAATGGGCTGTTACAAATTCACCCATTGCGGTCACATTTGACGGTACTACACACAGGTCCCTTGAAAGCCGATCTCCTCAAATGTACCCTAAGTATGCTCGAAACCAAGTTCACCCCCCGGTGTGTGCACACCTAGAGGTGAAAAAGAAGCAAACAACACTCAGTTACTCTTTATTATGGCCTCGATCATAGCAGTTTTAGAGCCCGTTGGGAAGTGCACCTTAGTTAGACGGACAAGTCGGGTTCAGGGAATTTTCAAATTTGAGGTCGGGCGTACAAATATAGGAAAGATCGGAAAATGATTGGTAGACAGTCACAAATACCCTTCGGGTAGAGAAAAAATGGAATTTAACCGGGATCATATCGTTCAGCGGTTGAGAATTCCTAAACTCAAATCGCTCCGGTAATGTTTTCATATTCCGTTAAAAGAACACTATATGGGATGACGGCTAAGATACTGAGGCCATGCCTGACATAGAAGCTTTAAAAAACGCACTCTACTCATATTCCAGTTGAGGTGTCTTGAATGATTCCTTGGGAGCATCTCTCTCCTAAACAGCATCACAATGGGCAACACACTGTGTAATAAAGAGTTATTTGTTGTTGTATATGCGGATGAATTTGTCGTTCTTTTCCTTTAGTGAATCCCCATGACCGTACGTGAATGCTGTGTTAGAAGGGTAATGACAGGGAAAGGTGATCTTGTGGACCGAAGCGGAGCTTGTTGGCCGGTCTTTGATTTATTGTTGATCATGGCAGTTTGTACACGTTTTACTTCCAATCTAGGAGATATATATGCTCAGTCAGATAGATGTTTGCTGAGGAAACTACTGCATCTCAAATTGCAAAGCTTCATGAACTAAGAAACAACCAGGGAGAACATTGTACCAGTTTATTTGCAATTTTAACGGTTTCCAGACTTATTCAGAGCATAGATATAATAAAATCCTTCGTTGCTATCAAGGATCAGTCCATGAGTGGGAGGAAACGTATGTGAAATAGTGTTTAAGCCAAAGCTGTCGAGTGCAGAAAAAAAGTGAAGGATATTTGCTGGGGAGCGGGAAGCTTTCATCAAGAAAAACGGTGCTTACTGACTGCTGTGAATAAGTAGGGCAATAGTCAGTCGTGTGGAAATCTAGTAAACAGGAACTGATAAACCACCATTCTAATATGATCTCCTGGATTCCCCCCTCCCATCTAATGAGACACAATAGTCACGTTTTTGTGGATTTGGGGTGTTACTGTAGTCATTTTTCTGATGAAATCATGTAACTGCGGATAATAGAGAACAATTGTAGAAAAAATTGAATAAAGGACGGATAAACAGGAGAATTGTTAACAGCCTGCTGTACTTACTGTCATCTTACAATGGATTGAACTCCGTACTAAGCAAAGTAAATTGAGAAGGATACTCCACCACCATACGCCGCAGATAAATTGGTGGGAGTCAGTGAAGTCCGTCTGTGTGCAAAAGCCGAGAAGCATATTGTAGGTGCGCCTTCCCTACTGGGGATCGTCATCTTTGTGCATCCCATGAATCGGCCGAGTGATCCAAACCTGTGACTTCAATTGAGCACCAAACTCCCCGACCAAACGGGGTTACCAAGTACCATAAATAGGTCGCAGGTAGATAGGATATAGCACCAAACACTCTTCAACCAGGGAATCCATATCACATGGTTGGCTGGCGGCTTCAGTGACGGCTTCTCAGATGGAAGGCTATGGATAGTTGTTCAGCTGTAACACCCATTCGGTGCTGAACTGTCAGGCCACACAAAGGAAACACGAGGACTTTGATACTGCCAGGTTGTGCAAGCCTAGACAGGATAAGTTGTGGGGCAGAAGTGGAGTTCGAGCCACGGACCTTCCAGTGAGTAAATTCACATACTAAGCGCTGAGCCATCTCACCCCCAAAAGAGTGTTACCTTATTGTCTGCATCATTTTACCCTATGAGTGCTAGTAGTTTACTTATAGTACGAGACTTTTTCGAATCTTTTGTTGAAGATTCCACTGTGTTTTAGGCTGCGCCACTCTCCAAGTTTTGAAGGAAATGGAGTGAATTGAAGTTGTCACTGACGTTTTATAGTGAAGAAAAGTTAAGTCATACAAGTGCAAATATAAGTCACTAAGCGCTTTTGAGAAGACTTTCCACTATTGTCTGCAGCTGCATTCCGTCACTGACCGTGTTTTACGCATGATGGTTCGGGTGCCATCCTCTGTCGTCAGATTTCTTCACTACCGTGTCTGTTTTACACTCATGGGGCTAATAAGTTTACACATGTATTCATCCCGGTCCCATAGAGCCTGCGGCGCCAGTCGATCTGCAAATATCTGTGAACTCAGCACACAAACAAGTTCTCAAATGGAGGGAACCCCACCCTGGGTACAAGTGTCCACATATGTACGAACTGGAGCGGACTGAAACTGGACCTGAAGGAACCAATGTGAAGCATATCCGGTTCGAATCAATAACTCACGGTAGGTAACTTTTAAACTTCTTCTGTCCGTCGCAAGATTTATGCCATCCTACAGATGGGGGAACTCAAATTCCGGATGGAAACACATAAGCTGAGGGGAAAGGAAACATTGACCAGTGGTTACGGGGTTTATAGATACCACATTCACTTCGCTTTCGTTTGAGGATTCCTGGCTTCTGCGGTGACGAGGACCACGGGCACTGTGATATTTGACAGCATCCTATGAGTGGGAGTGGACGCTGGTTGCGCGATGTTTAGCTGGTGCTCCAGTGCAAACAGAGGCTACAAGAAACACGCCTTTGTTTTCAAAAGCATTATCATATGCAACTATCGGTGAACAAAACACCTAATACACCACTCATCACTTGCTGAGGATAAGTCGGCAACCCACAATCGGTTTTGATCTTCCTGAGGCTCACCAAATAATCACAGTCTTTGAGTGCCCGTCAACTTTGTGTTCTGCTTGTTAGCAACCGCACTGAAGCATTAGCGGACACTTAGGATGAAACCGAAGGATGCCACAAATGTGATGTGATGAATTTCGATTATCTATAACAACACATGTTGGTACATCTGAGCTTCAAACGTCTTATGATTCCACTGAAATTCGTATTGTTTTCCTATTGGAAAGAGAGAGAGAGTGGACATTCGATGAACAGTTTCCTATACAGTCATCCTATTTCATCATGGTTAATGCAGCCAACCTTTGTAGCTTTCTGGGAGAGAAACACTCATAGTAAATTAAAACCTAAATTTGTTATTACTTTCACTCCAACAGGTGAAGGCAAGTAAACAGGTTGATGAGCCAGTAGCAAGACCATCTCGCACGTAATCACAGCCAAGCTGTTCGCTAAAACACACATCTTTAATTCTAGCCATTTATTTGCCCAAATTTTGATAGTGCTGCGAACTTCAGTGACCAGAAGAGATAAGGTAATCGCAGTTAAACTCTGGCGAATGGACTACTCGACTACTTTCGAAATCGTTGAAAACTCTTCAACAGCCGGCGGTCTGTTTTTACCTTTTTGTGGCTCATCAGCTAAGCACAATCTCAGAGTTTTCGTCAACCCCATAATCCAGTTGAACACAAGATGAATGAAATTCATCTCACAAAGTACACACCAAAGTTCCTTTCCTAAAAGTCGGATTTTGAAAACTGGCGTCTGACCTAATAAACAGTAGAAAACTCGTGTCCCCTCTTCCTTTCCCAAGAAAAGGAAATCGTTCGTTTAAGCCAAAGTGCCGAAAAGAACTGTGCTGGAACTGCTGGAAACAGCAATGCCCAACTCACAGAGATCCTGAAATTTTTTAACACATCTCTCGGTTGGTATTTGGGATACTGCATTTTGTCACTGATCAGCAAAGGAATCACCTCACTAAAACGGCAAGGTGCAACTTACCAATTATGGATTTTCCTTCACGTGGTCGCGTGTTGGCTGTTTACTGGTGTAAAGACTTCCCGACTAGGTTTCCTTTTCCGAACCAATTATGGTCAACGTAACTAAATCCCGATTTGTTGGTTGACTGCTGCACTTAAAAGCCTCCCCCTGTGAAGCTATTTAGGTGGCCACAAAAGAATGAACCAGAATCGCCCACGTGGTTCGCAGACAGACGATCTGCGCGCTCATCAAATGGACTCAGCATGACAAAATGCGACATTATACGCTCTGACTACCACAGTTCTTTATTCACGGTAGCTAGGTGACGAAAGTGGCAGTTTGCAGATTATTTTTCAAACCAAATCCGTCAAGATAGTACCGGAAGACATTGTCTAGAACAATTACTTTGAAATGTTTATTTTCTGAAAATATCTGTACCAACAGAAGGAAAACTAATCGTGTTCGTTTGGGACACTTTATTAACTCCATGAAAACTAAGTTCGTTTTATTTATTTTTTTATATTCTCGTTTCGTTTTTTTGGCCCCAGAATATGTTGTTCTCTCATTGAAACCGCGGACAATCAACTCTTACAGGCTTCGCATTATTGGTCTTCCGGGGAATGTCGTTGGACCGTACTCGGTTGCAACCAGCAAAAGAACTACAGGAAAAGGTATTTTTGGTACTCACCTTACGTGAAGTACATAGTTTTATGAAGATTTTTCACAATCGCATGATGAGTACTTGGGCTAAGCCAATTTCGCGCTTGACTTCTTACTATGCTATACAGTCCCGCAGAGATAAATGTTTGTATTCGGGTTGATACCCTACTTAATTTCCTTAGAATTTTGTTGTTCACAAACACTTTCGGTACCAACGGAAAACGCCGCTTGAGTGAGAAAATCAGGGTAGCTCTTAGTCACGACCACTTCACGTTTGAGTCTCTGTTAGCTCGGATTCTGGCCAATTAGCTTCAAACGCAGTTCGGGAAGTGGTGAAATGATGACTTCTCAGGTACCGGGCTCTAACGAAGAAGTTTTCCCTGAGGATGCCATGTCGCTGTTTGACATATTCCCACCAATCATTCAACTTTCATGAACTTCCGAAATTTATTGGCCTTGATTTTGTCCTCTGGACTGACTCACCACAACATTTTAAGTGCAAGCATCTACGCACATCACAGCTGGTCAGGGAACATATTGGCTCATCTTGGTTTTTTGCGAGTGTCATGGTTACTGAAACTGTTCCCAGCAAAATGCTGGTTATTTTTCACTCATTCTCATTTGGCATTCATCGAAGCTTTCATCCACAACAGTGAGCAAATTCATACATGTAGAAACCGGCATTTGACCTTGCAAGATTGACAATCTATATGAACAAACTCACTACAGTTGCTTCCTCTTTTGTTGATCGTCATCACTAATACGAACTTCACTGATCGATATTGATTGATTTTGCAAAAAATTAGCGAGTTTCACCCTTCCACTTAGTCGGTAAACGTAATGCCACGATCGAGATATCCATGCGTCTGAATAAACGCTTGTTGTTTCTGGCTCTCTTCAAGCTACCAGAGAAATTTCAAAACTTCGACCCACTGAGTGGTAGTTGAACAGAATACCGTTCAAACAAGATAGCTTGGCCAACAATACATGACCTAACCAACACAGTCTTCAATAGAAGTCTCCGTTGTGCAATTCAAAACTCGCCTTCTAACCGCCTCCTTATACTCACATTGACATTTTGTTACAGTTTTCTGAAACGAATCAAGTTTTACACAGATTGTGGAGCATCGTTTCGGTTGCCATCCGTACTAGTTTGAACACCAACTTATGTTGTCACTCAGGACCGACTGAACCAGATAATCGAGTCAAACAGGTAATCTAGCTACTTAGCAAACTTCTGAAACTGTAGGTAGGTGGTTATCATCCAGCCTCACAATCATGGATTTAGACGCAGTTTCTGAAAACATCGGCGAGCGAACGGTTCGAAGGGCTCAAAACTTAGCTTACTACTCCACGGGAGAAACATTCACAAATGGTCACAATTGTCCATGTGTTAACAGCACCTCTTGGAATATGGATACAAGCCTATGACGCAAATATGCGTACATTTCTTTATCATGATCACTGAAACAGCACCTCTTGGAATATGGATACAAGCTTATGACGCAAATATTAGTACATGATCACTGCCAGCACTTGAGAAATCACAGCAGATAACTTTTTTACTAGTTTGAACACGGTAGGTCGAACAGCGAATAATACTAAGAAATAAACCAAGAGGATGAGGATCTATACTCATTCAAATGGATGAGCCATGGTATTTTTTCATCACACGGTCTTCGAAAAGCTTGAAAACTTAGATTTACTTTAGAACTACAAAAACGGTGGTGGTGTGTCCCAGTTACGAAACTTTCTGACGATTCCCAAATGGCTTTGTTCAGCTATCGATGATCATTGCAAGTCTATTACATCTATCAGTACTCATGATTGAGTGTATCTTTCGTGGATGAGCTCACTAAAGCTCGAAGTGTTCTCCTTAATTAAGGCATAATTATGTTGACGTGAATAGGATACTACTTATCGTCTTTCTACAGAAACGCTCGCCAGTACGCTATCAGATCATATGACCACCATCGATTCATCCGAAAGTACGATCTCCCTTCGTGTGAACTTCTCTAGCCTGGTGGGAATTCCCGATCTGCAAGTCTTGTCACTGTTGATTCAACCACAACCAGAACAATCGCCCATTGGACGAGAATCAGCGATATTCCCAAAGCATGTCACAAAATTGTTGGACCAGGTGAGAAATGTTTTACGTTTGGTGCGATTAAAAACAGGAAGCTATGATGGTCGTATTTCAAGCCAATAACTTTTCCACATAAATCGTTCTTTTAAAAAAGTCCCCGTAAAATAGTCTCCTGTTGATTCATTACATAGTTTCAATAAACGTCAAATGTTATCTATTCTAGTAAAGCGACGAGTGGTTGTCCCAAAAAGACATTCCGACATCTGACAGGTTCGCTCCCCCATCATCGGAATGGGTTATACCATAAATCCTCAACTAACAGTGTTTCGCTTCTTTGATTTCGAACGTGGCAGGCAGCAATCGTGTTGATTCGGGCAATACCTCTGATAATCAGGACTCAGGTAGTTGAACATTGTTTGTGAGACCACACTTTTCAGCAAACACTACTGCACAGAATTTACATTGTTTCCAGTTAGGACATTACAAGTAGTGAGCATCTACTGAAAGACACTCACGTTTACTTAGCTACTATAAACCTGCGTGAGTCTGATTAGAAGACGAAATAAAAGAAGCAATTTTTATGTTACTGTCATTTTCGTTTAGTGATTGAGGACAACTATGCAGCTGCATCCAATATCTGAGGATCACGTCAGTCATGAGTACACACACATCTCGTCTTGGAGTCGTCGTTGGATGGCCAGTTCTGTACCAATTCCCAATCAGTAGTTTCGAAAGATTCCGCTACTGATATAAAGTGGAGTAGGTTAATAGCTGAATACAGTGGCTCCTCTTTCAAACAGTCCGACGGCCTGTAATAAAATCGAGCCTGAATTGGATGAAGGAAGCACGAAGGCTAGGATACTGCCAAGTTGCCCAAGCCTAGACAGGGGAAGTCGAGAGGCAGATGTTGGATTCGAACCACGGACCTTCCGGTCAGTGAATGTGCGCTCTAACCACTGGTCCATCTCGCCCCACCACTTACATGGATGCAAAACAGGTGTACTCTAAAATAAAGTGGGCTTTAATAGTAGTGTCAAAGCACTTGGCACACTTTGCTAACTTAAGTAATCATTAGAATTGTTATCTAGGTGCGGCATGGCAACCATTCGAACACTCTTTTCAACTACAGTAATTGCTCTGTATAGATAAGTAATGAATGAATTTCGTATCTGCAGTGTGTTTGATATATCTTAACTTATCTTATCTTAATAGGTCGAATTCCCTTGAATTGGTGCCAGTATTTTTAGTTTGTCTAAGTGAGACCGATTACGTTTCTAATCCGATAATCCCGGTGGAAGTTACTTCTTTCATTGGTTTCACAGAGCGGGCCTCAGGTTATGAGAGTGAGGCTGTGGAACGACCAAAAATTAGCAGGCTGGTCTATATTGTTCCAGATTACTTATCCGGAGTCAAAGATCACGCTTTTTTTATCCCTTTTCTGCGTAATAATGGTTTAGGACGCGTAAAATTTCACTTTGATAAGAGGAAGACCATTTTTCCTCTAGCTTACTGTACATCATCCCGATTTTGGTCTATCAATGTAACTCGTCCTAGTTCCAGTCGGTTCCACGTTCTGGCCGCAACCAACCCGGGCTACCTTGTGGAACTAGGAGGACGATAACCAGCTCTTAACACATACATCTAGCAGACATAACACGATACCTAACCAGAGATTCCGTACTGTTTACGGGCTAATCAACCGACCAAAAATTAGCAGGCTGGTCTATATTGTTCCAGATTACTTATCCGGAGTCAAAGATCACGCTTTTTTTATCCCTTTTCTGCGTAATAATGGTTTAGGACGCGTAAAATTTCACTTTGATAAGAGGAAGACCATTTTTCCTCTAGCTTACTGTACATCATCCCGATTTTGGTCTATCAATGTAACTCGTCCTAGTTCCAGTCGGTTCCACGTTCTGGCCGCAACCAACCCGGGCTACCTTGTGGAACTAGGAGGACGATAACCAGCTCAGTCTTAACACATCTAGCAGACATAACACGATACCTAACCAGAGATTCCGTACTGTTTACGGGCTAATCAACCCAGATCGACACGACAGCACACAATTGCAGTGACTGAAACCAGCGCCATATGACCTCGGCATCTGGTCTTTTTCAGCATAAATGCTTTGCGTTTCGTACTTACCACCGTCTAACTCACCACTGCCCTGTGCTGAACACAACCTTAGCACTGCCTGCACTAACGAACAAAGGTCATCTTCAGCATAAATGCTTTGCGTTTCGTACTTGCCACCGTCTAACTCACCACTGCCTTGTGCTGAACACAACCTTAGCACTGCTTGCACTAACGAACCAAGGTCATGCTATTGGTGACTGGAACCAGTTGTTCCTTGTCAGGTAGTCAGTGTTGCCTCTCACTCGAATCCCTCTTCATGTACACCATTCCCATTAAACTATGTTAAATGTCGCTCTCTTAACCCTTGCAAATGTACTGCTTGAAAAGAGGAATTTTGAGGAACCCTGATGAGTGAAACAGGGACATTCAGGCTTTTGGGAGTCACGTCTGTTTTGATGCTACACACATTCAGATATGCGGACTACGTATTGCATTTCAGAGTTGGAACAATCGCCTACACCATGGTACAGAAGCGTGGGAGTGGAAGCTGTGGGAGAGATCCGAGCATGCGTCACATCAGACAGCTCATGATGGAACAATCATTTTGGGCCAGACTGTACCGTGCAGTGATAGTCCCTATTGCGAACCAGGTCAACTAATGCCAGGATCAATTTATGGGTAATTTTGATGTAATTTTATGCGTAGCTGTTCGTCTAGCTATTGATTTTGAATTTTTGTCAGTGTTTTTTTGTTTCACAAGGCATTAGGGCGTGACAAGATTATCCGTGATATACAACTTATCACCCGGAATTCTCGTATTTTGCCTGTGATCGAAGTAGGGTCTTACCTTAAAGCTTCATTCTGCTAGTAGAATGTAAGCCACTGTATAACCGTTTCTTCCTCATTGGAAAGCTAGGAGACTATGTGCATCTCCTAGGAACTCATGTGACGAAGGTGAATCCCTTGTGAGTAGAGAAATTCGAACTTTTCACCGCCCAGCTGCTGGTGGATGATGAGCACTTTGCGTGACTTGCATATGACTACAGTTAAACCTCAAGTGTGCAGGTCTCAACTCAGGGGTTGCCGAATAATCATCATCGATCTTCGTGAAACTTGACAATGATAACATTTTAACGCCATAATCATTCGGTAAGTGGCACCTTCCATTGTGACACGGTTTAGGGTCTACAACAGTACCAAGTATGGTTGTCTAGTGTCTAACGATAAGATTATCGGTTTGTTTCTGGCCTAACCGCTCACGACCCTCCGGTTTCTCCAAGCTATATCGTGCTTCGAACAGGGGAATTCCACATATTGAATTGAAAAATGACGTCAGGCTGAGAAAAGTGTGATAAAATAGCGCTCAACTATCGGTTCAGGTCGAACCTACAACTTTGAGGATTGCAGAGTATCTTGCTTTGGAAAACGGACAATTCTGTGTGAAATTCTCGACAAAATTAGGAGTCTATTATCGGATTTATTGCAAAACAAATTCCTTGTATGGAATTTTTCTCAATAGATTACACAACGATTTGTGGAGCACCTGAGTTGGGCCACCGTCTGCCATGCTATTCGAATAAAGCCGTAATTACATACTACGCTAGAAAGGAAACTTTGCCATCAGAACTGTTAAGGTTCCCGATAGGAAACTTTGAGTTACGCGTACGCCTGACGATCACGACCAACAAACGTAAGAACTGGGTACGAAATTTACGTTACTATTTACACAAAAGTAGGCAAAAATATATGACAAAACTCAATGGTCCACGTTAGTGGCGTCAACAAGTGCTCAAGTCTGTCCTGACCGGTACGGGACACTTTCACGATCCGCACTCCAGACAACAGCGAGCGGATTGTCAGCTCGCTTTTTTGGGCTGCGGTCATCCTTTTCGTGGTCGGTTTCGCATATGTAGGTGGCTTTGGTAAGCACGTTCACAATCATATGTGCTTGTATACCAGTGTCGGACCGGGAATGCTTGGCGGCAAGGTGAATGACAGGTGCGGATGAGGGGAACAATTACAGATGAAAAGTATATAGGTGGAGTGAGCGAATGTCAGAATGAAAACTGAATATTTCATGAGTATCTTTCCTGTGAGAATGGGGCAGATGAAATCTATCCAACTCAAGGCGCACAGTCACCAAAGTCACAGGCAGGTAGTCTTGAAATAAAGAACGCGAAGACAATCGGCGCTTTAATCGGGGTGGATGGGTAATCTGGCTGAGAAAGCAATACACAGTGGTCAAAAAAGATGGTGGCTTAGAATACGAGGGGCTAATAAGTCTTCTGGATCCGCTTGACTTATGAACATAAAAGTTAACATTTTAGTCAGGTTGTTTATGACTTCTTTTTGGTGTGTCTCTGACGATTACCGCTGAATTCAATCATCACGGATTCCATGCATCATTATAACACCATTATTATTATTATTATAACATCGACAATAAGATAACATTAATAACATAACTTAACATTAACATCATTATAATTTTCCTCATTTCCAGAATTCAGCTGAGATTATACAGTCCGAATGGTGTTTTCACGAGCCATCAAATCTTCGCCGCCACAAAATCTGACCGTAAGTTTGAAATTATGCCGCCCAACTACTCCATGTGCAGGAAGGCCGACAAAGGTTTCTGGGATGATAACAAAACGTCTGCACTGTTTTTCGCTATTTGCATATTCGTTTTCTTCTGCGAGTGCACGCCTTGGGTCTAACGACCAACATTATTCGTAATTGTGTCAATCTCACCCTCCGTGGTGCAGTGCAAGTTTCCGCGCAGTGTTCACTGATCATAATAGGTCCTTCCAGCTCGAAGGTAGTCCCGAAAACCACCGCAGCACTTAGTTTCTGTTGCAGTAACATGTCTTTCATCCTTATCATCCTGTTGGTGTTAGGGTTGGGCAAAGTTTTAATTCATCCGTTCCGGAATGCTTTTTTCTACTCACTGTTGGATTATGCGATGGGGGGCATCATAATATCTGTTAGCGAGCAAACAGTGATAGGTAACAATAAATCGAACGCGACACCAACACCAGTAGATGGTGAACAAAGTGAAGGCATCAGAACATATACGCCTAAACTCTCCCTCAAAGCGCCGCGACGTACTTTCCCGTCCATTTCATCTGAAGGGCCAGTCAGCGTGACGTTCTTCTTAGGATTTGAGACGCTTTGGTCTACGTTTACACAACAAAACGTAGCAGTTTTAAACCCTTATCCAAACAGAACAGGAAATATGTTTTCTCTTATTCTATCAGGCAATACACCTTGTTATAAGCAACAAGATAGAGCTCGAGAGGGAGGGGGTGGACCAAACTTCTCAGAATCGAATATTTTGATATGGGAGCTAATAACTCCAATAGGAATCCCATGTGTCCATCACTCGCGTCAACCTCAGATTCGATTCTTCCATAATACATCAAAACCCAGGATCTTTTATGGCCTTACTGCCCTCCTCCTAGTATTCTTTCTAGGTCTAGCAAAAGAAACAGCGAAGGCTGCTGCGACAAAATAAGACAGTTCACAAGGACATAGACGTGACGGAAATCGGGGGTGCACCCACTTAATAAGACCGAAGAAGGGCGTAGCCGAATGTGCGCAATCTGAAAGTTTTCGGAAAACTTAGATTTAGATTTTTGCTTCCAAAATCGTCTATGTTTTACACCAGTATGTCCGAAGTCATCATGGTTATCAAGTGTTAGAGAACTAGTGGAGCTTGGAGACCGAATTCGACGTATCTTGCGTAGTTGTGTGCGTTTGTGCGCTTTTTGTATGCGTGCTTATGAGGATGTGCGTATGAGCGTGCGTGTAAGTCCATGCGCGAATATGCGTGTCTACCTGTACACAGGTGTATTCGTCTGCAAGCGTGAATGTGTGCGCACATCCGTGTGTGCATGCGGTGCATGAACTCGCCACTTCGTACTAATGTCATGAACTTTCATCCTCATGTTCCTAGTTATCTGCCTCAAAGTACTGCTTGGCGTTTTTGCCGCTGTTGCTGGTTGTGCAGTCATCCTAGCCAAGTTCGCCTACACCTGCCACACAAGCGCTTCATGGGATCGTCTAGAAGCTGAGGCAGTAAAGGTAGAAACTGAACGGAAACCAGACAAGACGAACAAAAAAAGATCATGGACAGAACAAGTGCAACGTGTAGGAAGGTAGGTGCTGTTTTCATGGTTTACTATTATTATGTTATATATTATGTTACATAATGTTATATTACTGTTATATTATATTACATTATATTGTATTATATTATAAGATATCATACCTTTGTTATATTATGTTATGTTAGTATTTTTCCCTCCCCTGTTTGGTTCGGAAGAGTATAAAATTCAACATGTTGCATTCAATTATCCAGCGAAAACGCAAAGAAGCATTTGCTAAACAACATTCTAATCTATTGAGAACGATTGTTTCAAACGTGCAATTGCGGTTCCGAATTTTTAGAAAAAATGACAAATATGGGTTACTCGTTTTAATAAGTAACAAGGAGAATGCTATATTCGGTTTGAAGAGTCCTCGTCTAGTGCACACAAAAGGAGAAAGCATTGCAGTCTAGTTTCGATCGCTCAACAGCAGTGCAACTACTTGACAAGAGTTTGGACTGCAGCCATGTGATTACGAGGCGAGCTTTTTACTAGTACTCCACTGGCGATCCATTACTCCGTGGCTAATGGACGATGATGTAAGATAAGCCACTTACCTTTCACAAAGGTATTACCACTCCTAAAATTACCGGCGAAGTAAGCCCGATTTCATCATCTCTTCAATTGAATAAATGTGAAAGACAATGGCGCACTGGACTACATTGTGTTCTTAGGTCATTGTCTTAAGTCTTCATAAGGGGTGCCAAATTAAAACATGGTCCTCCTGACTAGCTATCTGGAATTGGAGCATGAACTTGACCGAGCTACGGCATGCTCTGATCTCATAAAATGTGTGAACATATTCAGTACTACCAGTGTGGTGCACTGTATTCCAAGAGAACTAGAATAGTCCACCATTTCACCGGCGCTAACCAGTCATAATCGGATGTTTCAACAGAGTGTCACAACTCAAGCTTGTATGAAACAATATTCCTTCACAGAGTAGTTTTGTCGATGTTTCGCAACAACCGAGCCAGTATGTAGTTTGAAAAAAAGAATCTACACACTTCTTTAGAGAAACTCAATCATGTGACCCTCCGTTTCAGGTAATCGTCTAATGCAGTTGAATTTCCAATTTTTAAATTCTTGCTCTTTCAAGTTCGTAAACGCCCTGCCTCTATCCGCCTGACACTACGTAAATCTTTAGCAACCAAAGTGATCAAAAAGTGATCCTAATGCGTGACTGTCTCACGAACCTGGAGTTCTTGACGGTTTCAAAAGCTCTTAGAGCAAAATCACGGTTCGACGCCAACGAACCTGGAAGACATGTATGGATAAGAAACTTTCTGACGACCATTCTGTGACCAGATAAAAATTAGACATTTTGAAATTTGAAACTATGGAATTTTTACCCTATCTATAAGCACTTCCTTGGGAGGAATTTCTTTTATGCCTCTGTTTAACCGATCTGTGTAACAAAAAACTGTTCAATCGAAAATGGCATTTAATTTTCTATTATTACCGTGTTCAACATCTCAGGCTCGCTTTTTCTCTTCCGTTGTTTAGATATTCCATTATGCGAGATGATGAAGAAGGGTGAGTGAACAGTTTGTCCGCGTTCTATTTCTCCCTCACAGACTGTAGCGAGTTCGGAATTGCCGATATCGATTCACATTAACTAGACGTTCGATGAAACTGGCCCTCTTAACCAATATGATGCCCTTCATTAGCTGTAACTGTGTTGTGTTTGAGTGCGAACATAGAAACAGAAGTAAGGAAGACATGTGACACGTTTTAGGCATACCGTACAACTCATAAGTTTGCTGAAATCTCTTCGTTTTATCTCTTGTTTGGGGTGAACACATTTGTAAATTAAGGGCACCTCTGCCCAGATGACTGATGCAAATTTGTGCGCGCTGGAGATGAGGTAAAGTAAGTCCGAGAAGGAAACTGATTATTAAAGGTGATCCGAGGGGCATTTTTCCTTGTGGCTGTTCAATTTATCGAAGTTGGTTTGTGTTCCGGTCGCTTGGTGAGGCGGATCTGCGAGCTGTGTTCATACGAATAGCTTTTTTCGAGTTTACCGAATACACCGTTTGACGGGAAATATCCTAGTGCTTGTGTAGTCAATTGAGCCCATGTTCAATAGTCCTTTATTCTTCTTCGCCCAGGATCTGTCTTGAAAAGAAGTCACTATTTAACCAGCTAGTCATGGGAATTTCGGGAACAAAATTCGAAGACACGCTTGAGGTCCCAATGGTTGAGTGTTCAAACTACTAGTCGGAGGTCGAAGGTATGATACTCCCTGGAGTTTCGTGAGACGTACACTGCTGATGGTTCTCAGTGAGGATGGAACAGACGCACAGCCTTTTTCGTTGTTTTATTGGAGACTAGCTTCAGGCACTCGGGATTTCCCAGATTTATTCACACTACCAGCAGTTAGTATGTTGTGCTTTGAAAAATAGTTACTTCTTCATACATGTGGGTCACAAGCGTTCCCTACGTAACCATTACTCCGATACTCATGACCTGGTCGTTTTATATATTATATATGTATATATATTAATACATGTATATCTATATTTACGTACACGTAGTGAGATGAAGAAGGCCTTTGTTGCGGAGGTATTTATTAGAAAACGCTAACTGAACAGTTGGACTTTTGGACAGAGGAGCAAAACTCTCGTATGCCTCTATTTTACAAAAAGTTGTATATGCATCTTTTCCTTGAACGCGTCTTCCTGGGCTTTCTTGGATAGTTGTTAAATGTTGCTCAAATAAAGGCAAATTCGACTCCGTAAACTCCCTAATAGATCTCACTTTTCAAGAGACACGAAGTGGATTTACCAGAAAACATTCTACTCTCATGCCCCCATCAGTAGTATACACCGGTACACTAGCAATTAGTATGATGTGCGTCGAAACATAATGACTTCTTCATGCATGTGGGTAACAATCATTCTCTACGTGACCGTCACTTCGATATTATTGAGCTGGTTGTTTTGATATTTATGTGAGAAGTTCATCCTGAGTGTCCTGATTCTACTGATCGTGCAACGTAACTAAATGAGAAGGAATCATATCTTTTATAAGAAACTGGAAGAAAAATTCCTGAGAGATTGTCAGAAATAAGTCCTCGGAGAACCGTCACATCCAAAGAGGATGCACACAGAAACCTATGTAGTTGTGTCGAGATGTCCAAGATTGGTGCCAAGAACTCTTGGTTCACCACTTGTCGTTCACAAACCGGGCTGTCTAGGCATGGTTCCGCTTATTTTAGCATTCAGTATATATGCCTTGACAACAATATTATGGATGACTAGTTATTAGGAAACATCTTGAAATCACTGAAGCTGGGTTCCAGGTGGGTGTCTGACGCTTAGACAATTGCCGTTTCATTGTGGACATTGGGTAGTTCCTCCGGCATCGACCTCAAACTACGCATCCGGTTTCTAGACGTTTTCATCTGTGTTTTCCTCATTCGATAGGCATGGTAACGCATATTCGGATCACGCTGACAATGGAAAAGTGTGGAAGAATCACTAATATCTCGTCAACTCAGCCTTCTAACTGTTCAAATAAGATCGATTTGATTCGAAAATTATGTGAAGCCATTATTATGTGCAAGACTATCAACCTCCTTTCAGAAATCATAAAAACTCCCGTTGGCCTATGGCTTCCGATCAAGCGACCTTAAAGTAGATTGAAAAGTAACCATGGAACGCGGAAAACTATTCTGGACGTGGAAAACAGCAGACCTATTCGTGCTCACTCTGGCAACTGTGTTGTAGTTAGAAAATGTCATGGCTTTTAAGAACCCGCCTAACTGGTCACCAGTCTACTGGCAATTACCAATGATCCAGGCAAACAAAACGGTCCGATTTTCAGGGAGCAAGTGTGCTTCACCAACGTTGGATAGAAAATCCTAACTGGAGGTTGAGGGTCGAGGTCAGCGGAAAGCAAAAAGTTCTGCTGACTAGTGATCATTTGATTAAAGACTTCACACTAGATAGGTTCCCATCTACTCACCACCGACCCAAGCTCGAGTAGCACTAGGTAACGGCTTTGATGGAACGTTCACTTGGACCTAAATTTCGTCACGCTTTTCTCTTGTAGGTCAAACTTTCGTCGTACAGGCTACATGCCAACAAATAGTGTGGTTCAAACAGGAAGGACTATTGGTGAACTGCGCGCATACCTAGACGAATGTCTTCAACCTACGTGCATGCAGCTGGATGAAGAGTTTACTGTGAGTTGAGAACCACCATATCGATTGATAACTGCACTTCTGTACTTTTAGAAAGGTGACTTCCTTGGAATTACATTCAATGCGTTGTCTGTGGGTGCCATCTGCTTTGGTGGAGTTCTTCTCAGAGGAAACTCGTAAACAATTTTCCTGTTGTTTATAGTAAACCGGGACCACTACAAGTATTGGAGTTTTCGGGTGTTCTGACCCAGGTTTCCTGTGATGTTTCATAGTAACATTATCTTGCTAAAGGTACAGTTCTGATCGGAGAAGAAATATGGTTTCCTTGTTATGTTTATCACTGGCTTTGAAATTCGACATTTGGGTCAGAAACCGTCAAAAGCGGGAGCAGCCTTGATCAACACGCTCTAATGAAGTCTGCAATTTGGGGACCGTTTCTGGACAGACCATCAGTTTGTACTTAAGAACGCAGAACAGAGAACACCTGTGTTTCATCTCCATTCAAACAGTTCGGGTAGTTTTGTCACCACCTTACCTGTAAGATGACTTACCTCACGATACCTCTTATAAATCGGAATCGTTTTTGCACTCAAATGACTTTCTATTCGCCAGCAAACTTCGGTCGGAAAGAAGATTGTAGCCATTAGTCCTCTGAGGCAACAATTATCACTTAGTTTCATCAGTATTTAGCATGAATGAAAGGTTTTGAATAGTCAACGTGTAATGTTATATCTCGTCTGCTGAAATGCAATGATTACAAATTCACGAATTGGTCTGCTATTCCACACTTTAACAGACTTTACGACAGAATTGTCTGAAGAAAGAGATAGATGAAAACATGACGACGAATATTGCCACAGACCCGAAGAATCACGCACTAAATCGATATCCGGATATCATACCATGTGAGTGAGTTGTTCAGTTTTGTTCTCCAGATAGGAGTTTGAACCCTATATGCAGGAAGGTTTATGTAACCTTTACGGAGCCCTCTCTGGACTGAGATAGTCGAAACCACGTTAATGTCAAAAGTGGATAGCCGCCCCTCTCAAAATTTAACAAAAATCACTAGTACTTCGAGCTAATTCTACAAGAGAGCACGTCGAGCATCAAAAACGTAATTTCCAGCATTCCACGGGGCTGAGACAAATGGACCTACAAACTTTTCCAAAACTGAGTGCTGCAACTAGCTACAAAAGTCATGATAATGCCATGAGCCATCAAACAAATTGTCTCCATTTCTGATATATAAATATATATACATATATCAGTATCGGTATTCAGAATCATTTAGATTGTTTAGTTCCTTTCATTGCAATACAAACCGCCCAAGTGCAAAACTTCGTGAACGCCATTTACCCACTTTTATAGATTCAACTTTACGGTTTTCTCGCTTCTCATGTCCGGCTTTCAAATCGTAAGAAATGTTGCTTGTTGCTAAATCGTATTCTCCTGATACACTCTTCATTTAGACGACCATAATGCTGTGCTCCTGAGTGGGAATAACCCTCTGCAAAAGGAGGTAGGTTTTGAATACTACAACCATAAAAATATGTACTAATTTGAATACGTCCTATAAAACTTTTTCGACCTATAAATCTCAAAATGTTAAGATTGAAAACATGTGTATAAGTGGTTTTAAAACTTTGCTTTGCGACCCAAGCGAATGGTCCATGGACCAAATTCTTCAGGTTTACAAAGCATTTACTAAAAACTGTACTAATTTCAGCAATATCATGTATATTGTATGTACAGTTTATCCTCGCTAAATCCTCATCCCAGACCTCCTATCACTGTTGAGGTATTCGTACATTATTAGGCTCAAATTCAGGGCATTCACTGGGTTTTGAAATTGATGACTAGATATGCAATGGTGTAAATGCTGGCTTAATAAATGGCGCTATGAATGAATCAAGCAGCAGACCCAACTTTGCGCTCCCCAGTGTTCAATAACCTCATTGGATGAGTATAAAAGTGGGATTCTGCTGCTGTTTTGTGAACAGAATAGCAGCTGGTAAATTCAGCTTTGATAATCATTTATAACAGCCGGAAAAATGCAGTTACATAGCTATAAAGTTGCGAGTCTAGCCGCTGCAAAGCCGCTACTCACCCTTAACAAACAAGAGATAAAAGCGTCGATGACTGGACGATGTGAACTGCACCCTGTACACTTCAATTGGTTTACTTAAGTTTTTTTGGCCTTCGAATAGAAAAACTCACCTGGTCACCGATAACATGCTGATGGCAAACTATTGGTACACTAGGATTTCGGAGTCTTTGTTCAACTGACTACGCAGCAATATTCTATACAGCGAAGATGGAATGCATTAGCTCCCCTATCAGGCGTCCTTCATTAGAATCCCATGGATAGGCGCTGTTGAGGAGCCATAATGAACCTAAGTGCCATGCCTTTCATGATGACGCGGAATAACAAAATCAGTGAGCCAAGACAGAATGAGGGTAACTCAAACCAAGGTAATGTAAATACGGAGGGCCAGATGGCGTGAGTGGTAAGAGTGCGAATTTACTGACCGGAAGGTCCATGATTCGAACCCGATCTCTACCTCTCGCCTTTCCCTGTCAAGGTTTGCGCAACCTGGAAGTATCCAAGCCCTCGCGCTTCCTTCTGGTGGCATGAAAGTTAGGCACCAAAAGTATGCTACAGCTGAACGATTTTCTCTGAACGAATGTGAACAGAACTCCGATTATTCTCGCACCCCTCTACAACAAAACAGGGGTCTTTAATTTTCATTGTAAGGAAACCTATTCCAAATTCGCCATTTCATTCCCAACAGATGCATAACTATTTGTGGTCTCTAAAATGTTTCAAGAAATGGGGCCAAAAAGATATCGTTTCTGCAGTCATGTTTGCATACGTAATCCTCAATTCATCATTCGTGTTCATTCCCATAAGAAGTTATAACCTGTGGATGTATAGACTTAGAAGATTGCACCACTCTAAAGTTGAAGAGGGGGAATTTTCGGATATTGTCTTTACGTCTCCTCTTTGCGTTCACCCAATAAATAGAAAAATCCACACTCTCTGAGTGAACAGAACGTCGATTCATGGGGATTACTTGGCCGAAGAGATGAAACTTATTTTTCCCGTAAGGTTTGCTGCAGAACTCCGTTACAACTTCACTAAAGTGTCAGTTCAAAATCCTATTGTTTGCGTGGTCTGTAAAAAGAGAGTGCGCACAAACGTAGAAGATATGGTCCTTTGATGAAGGAGAAAGTTTTGGATAATAGTGTAGATTTTTTATGGATCAGGTTTTTTATAACTTCGCTAAACACTCCAATGGAGCTCCTCGAAACCACTTCGCAGTTCCTGAGCTTCATCTGGTTGCTGCAGTCGCCCCATTCCAACCAACGTCATCTTCAAGTTGAACTTCAACTTGAGCGGAACCTGGAAACCGTACCTATCTGAAAGGCCCAACAAGGGCAGAACCAATCGTGGGTAGACGAAACGTTTTCAGCAGCTCTGAGATCGGGTTACCTCAAGAACGTATACTGCGATATCTCAGCGCCCCGTCATCCGAAGTGTTAGGGAGGGCATATTCAGTGGCACATTCAGCTGGGGGATACCATAACTGAAAAATTCGAACCTGAATTAACTTGTACTTTGCGTTATGGTGTGGACGTCTTGAAAATTGATTGGCTTACATCCAAAGGTAAAATCGGGGGGGGGGGGTAGCTTCTAACAAAAACCACAACAAAAAACAACGACAACCCAAGCACGAACAGCATTACCACCAACAACAACAATAACAACAGCAAAAACAAGATTGCCAACAATAGCACGAGCAACAAAAAACACCGAAATTACCAGCATCAACACCAGCAAGAGTAATAACAGCAGCGGTAACAAAAACTCCAGTGGCGACCCAAACAACCACAGCGTCAACAACGTCAATAATACAACAGTGGCAGCAGCAAGAATCGCATAAACAATATCAACAGTAACCATCAAAGCAACAGCAGGAACAACGACAGCGACAATCACAGCGGCCGCAATAACAACACGAAAAAACCAAGAACACAGTCAGCAACAGCAACAGGAAAAACATCATCAACGACAACAACAAGGCTTATAGCAACAGCAGAAGAAGCAGCAGAGGAACAACAAGTGAACCAGCAAAAACAACAGAAGCACATCGACAACAGCAACGTTCATAACAAGATCATCAGCAACAGGGTGAACAAAGGCAACAACAAGAACATCAGCAGCTGCTGCGGCTGGAACAGCAGCAGAAGCAAAAAGAACAACAATCACGACGACAGCAACGTGATTTTGAGAGTATCAATAAACCGAATTTTGTACCACTAAATACGCTAATTAGCATTGTAGAAGTAGTATCAAAACATTCTCGATACTCCTTTACAACGATAGTCGTCCCCACCGATTCTCGGTGGGTCAGCCAGAGAAACTGTTTTGCTTGCGAACTCATATGTTTACTAGAAGCATCATAATGACATGCGTAATCCATGTGAGAGAGGTGGTGACCTTTGTCCGTGTGGAGTGGCAATTTTCAGCCGATGTCATCAGTGTTGTACTATTTTGGCAAATTATTTTGGCTTTACGGCACACCAAGACTTGACATTATAAACTCATCTGGAAAGACAGTCCCTCCTGAATTATACCGATCTTGCTTTTCAGATTGGACATTACATAAATGCCAGCTACATTTATGCCGTAAACCCAAGCAAAGACGCTCAAGCTGCACCAAAATTGAACCCAGCACGTGTGGACTTTATCGCAGCGCAAGCGCCTTTGAAGAAGACGATTGCAGACTTTTGGGAAATGATTGCCGAAAATCATGTTTCATTGATCGTAATGCTTACACAGTAAGTCCAAGTCTTTTTAAAGTAATACATACTACTGGCAGCTCCCTTAAATAATCTTTGAAAAGGACTGCTCTTCAGAACGCATCCAGTATAACGAAGAAAGGTTTGCTTGGGTAGACGTAATACATCAGTCATAAGGCTCCTAAAAGGTGTTCGAGAGCCCCTGACCAATTTTGCTCTTCTTTGGACTAGTCATGTAGTCCCCGAGTTTCCGTATGTTACGCCTGAACCACAACTGGACAGATTTCGGCAAGTACAATTATTTGTCTATCAATTTGGGTTCAAGTAGGATAAAAGTTGACGATAATAGGGGGAATATGTCCACCTGATGAGCTCAATGAAGGTCGAATTCTGTCGTGGGTCGTCGAAGAGTTTTCAGCAATTTTATGAGTAGTTTGTTACGTCTGTGTATCCTGAAATCTCGAATATCGCACCATCTGAAGCACGAGGCCACCTGGTGCAGCAAATTTAGTTGCTTAAGGAGATAATACTACTGATAAGGTTACTGAAAATTCACCCGCATCCCACCGATAGCATATGCAATTTTCGGGTCAGATCATCCCGGGGTAACGCAGGAGAGGTCTGTTACTGACAACAGTAATCTATATATCCACTGTGGATGTAAGCATAATGATTCAGTCCTAGTTACCTGCAAACAAAGCACGAATTCTGCAAAAACACTTGGGGAAGAAAAGTGCCTGATGAAATGACTATTTGTCAAGGAGGAGCGTGACTCAGGATACATCCAGCTTGAAACGGCTGTGAAAGTGTGTGTGTCTAGCTAGGACTTCCCGTGGTCCTTATCCTGGGGTCGAATCAAGAAACTTAGACTTCCGTTGACATTCGAATTAGGGGTTGATCTTCCTGGACGTATGCTTGAAACCCATTAAGTTTGTCCCTTTGGTCTCCTTTGGTTCTGTTTACAGATTGGTGGAGGATAACGTGCCGAAATGTGCCAGATACTGGCCAGATGAGGTGTATGCGACCACGATTCACATGTCTCATGGTAACGAATTGGCAGTGACGCTGATTGCGGAAGAAGATTATCCAAGCTATACAATAAGAAAGATCAGTCTGGTAGATGTGAGTTTCACGACATTTTTTGTTCTTTTGTCACAATCGGCATTTGATAAGTTTTCTGATAGAACAGGATCGGCAGTACAATGAATCCTGTGAATTTATCCGTTCAGAGATAGTTCACCTGACTACCCAGCTGGGTTTGCAAGTCAAATTGATGGCTTAAATCGCTTCAGCCATTGGTACTCAACAAAAAGCAGAGAGAGATATGTTGAGCGTGGCAATCAGTTAGCTCACATCTGGCACAGTATCTGGTACCCTGGGCCCAGCTAACATCTGTGGATTGCTTTGCATAGAGACCCCTTTGAAAATGAGTGCCATAACCCTCATCCAAACTTTATCCCGTAATAATAATTCCTGCAACAAGAAGATATCAGACTCTTTCACTACGCCAGTGAATACGGTTAATACCTGCAAAATCTTAAAATGGCATCCTCTTTATCCGTCCTGTCTGATGAATCAAGTCCCTGTAGGATTCAGCAATTTGCCCGGGACATTATTCCCGGATGGACACTGCATTCATCTTTTACACTCAGTAGAATCCACTACAACCAGGCGATTAAAGAAGACCACCGGTTTTGTCAGTAATTTCAACGGTGCTGAATGTGGACTTGTAAAACCATGAGGATTTTTTATTCCTACCTGTGACAGGTTTATTGCCATCCGCAAAGCAACTCAGGTGTTTTACAGGTCAGCCTACTGGTTTAATGTCCTCAGTATGCAAATATCCTACACTTTTTAAAACCAAAACAACTGTGTAGAATACCATACTTGCGCTCCGCTTGTTCACTCACGCATGTGCAGAAGTTTTTACCTGATCCGTCTTTATTTTGGTCGACTGTTGTATCGAGTTGTATCGGTTTTTTCGAACTTTCCAAGAAGATTATACTCGCGAGAATACTGATTTTTTGTTCATTGACATCTGGTTATAAAACCTGCCAACGTTTCCATCATGGTCCTTTAATTATTATATTATTATATACTATACATTAGTGTGTAATATGACATACATACAATACAATAATATAGTCGATATATTATTATATATTGTGTTATTATATCATTATAGTTGTTAGACGAAAGTGTGTGATAACCATTATGTTATTCTCATATGGACACGCAATAACAGAACGTTGACTAAGGCGAATTTCCTTGCGTGACGGGATTATTTTGTGTCAATTTGATGTTAATATACACCGCTGCTTACCGATAACTAATCTGTCAATTTCACTCAGTCTGCGGATGTACAGAGTCAAGATGCATATTGTGAACGTCTCGATTGGAATTCGAACAAGCAAAAGCCAAGCGTGTGTCATCAAAAAGTGTTTAAAAGGCTTTGCGGGCCACCTGTTCCTTCCGAAATTATTTTCTTCTGTTCATCTCATTTTGTTCAGATTATCCACTTTGTATAGAGGCCTTTGCTTGGAATCACTTTAAACCTTACTTGCTTATATAGACAGTTTATAGAACTTGTTTGGTGTTGTGAGGGTGAAAACGTCGAGTGGATCGCTCAACTTATCCAGCCAACGGCTTGTTCTCAAGAAAGACGAATATGTGAAAAGCTAACATACCTAGTCTGCGATTTCTCCACGATTTCAGTTTGCTGATCAGCTGTGCCCCAAATATAAGCAAAACGACAGTTTTGCAGAGTACACTTAAGGAGGCATGCTATGAACAGAAGCTGGAATTAGCTGGTTTATTTGTTTATTCATTTTTATCATTTGTTTGCTCATTGTTCTATGAAGTTTCCATGGAGACTTAGGTTTGGAAGAAGACCCGTTTCTTCACAGTTAGATATATCCACCAAAGGACGGTCCGGGAGAAGGCAACAGCTCAGCAGATTCCATCATGTGCGCTGATAATGATGAATCAATTATCATAGTGTAAGCAAACATCCGTGGCGCTATTGCTGGATCATAAACACCCAGCCGATTTCTTGTTAACTGCTGTTAATGAGTTCGATGTAGCTTCGGGGTTAAGGCACAGATTTACTGACCGGAGGGTTGATGGTTCGATCCCAACCACTTTACCTCGACTGGTGTTGCCAAAGCTTGGGCCACCTAGTAGTATCGCAGCCCTAGTGCTTCCTTCGGGTAGGCTGGGAACTAGACACTGAAAGTGGGCTGCAGCTGAAGGATTTTTTAATTTTTTTAACACTGTTAATAGTCGTGCACTTCAGCTACCCGTGTGACCTGTTTTTCGTCTTGGTGTTTAAATTAATGCCTGTTTTTGGGTACCTTTTGCCAGTCTAGGCTTTCATCACTCAATCGACAAACTATACATTCTCGCTTCATCCACATCATGCTACACTAGGCGCTTCCATCCCAATGTTTGTTCTTAAGCATACTCTTCTCCAGCATTCTCATAGTGTACGCTTCTGATGCTCATTATCTGAACAACGGGGCAGTTTGACTCAACCAAACATCTGTTATTTAGTCTTTTAAAAGTCGATGATACTACGCTTCTGTGGAAAATGAGGTATACAGCATTATAGAGTCCTTTAGCATTTTACAATCTCATGGGCTCAGTGGTCGAAAACTCCCATTGGACGCTTTGCGATGAGACATCGTCATAACACATCCGGACGCGAAATACTCTTCTGGCGCCTAAAACAAGATTCTCTGGAGTTCTTCCACAATCTCGGATCGCGAGGACCTAAAAACAACGGAGAAGAAGTTGAAAGTTCCGTCTAATGGGTCCGAATGAATATTTGAGAAAATTCCTATCCAATATTTCATTATCAACATTATAATTTCGGACCATAACCCATGTATGAGGGAGTGGGTCATGCGTGTTACTTCAATACATAAAGCTGCGGACAGGGACCAATGGTATTTCTGTCTACCTTGCGTACGGTAGTAATTATGTGGTGCCACGGATATGCAGCGTATTAGAATATTGCCTCTGAATCTTGGTCGAATGTAAACTAAGCTGAAAACATTTACCGCTCTTTCGGTGGTAAATAACCCGGAATTTTCGAAAAATCGGATAAAATTGAGGTCCGTATGATCAGTAGTTTTGTGGGTAGGAATGCTCGGCAATTAAGGGAGCAAATTCAGTTTTTTCTGTAGTTCTAGACAGGAAGAAGGATTAATGGGCTTACAGAAGAATTTCTTTCTGATCGTAACAACCCCGAAGCTTGTTACAATATACAAGTTGTTCTATCCTGTGAAGTTACCAAAGTTGCGCCGCATAAACCAGATTATATAAATTCAAAATGGTATACAATTAGCGACGACTGCATATGTCCTTTTAGTTCACTAAACAAGTCTGCTTTTCTGCATGAAAACATACCTTAGGATGATTTGAGGTTCATAAGCCTAGACAAGACTCCAAACCCACAACTTGGTGATTGTCATCACAAAACTCTCTGGATTTTCGTGAGATGCGCAGTTCTGATGGATCTTACTGAGCACGAAACAACTGTACAATGCATTCCGATTTTCAGCATGTCTGGCCTCTTTTGCTGGTGGCATACAATCCCCAAAGTTACAAGAGTTTGTCTAATTTCCTATTCAATAGCTCTTGGGGTTACCAGTGTTTTTGGGCCCATCACAGCCTCTTATAGGTAACTTTTGAGCACACGCAATATTGCTTTGTTCTGCTTTCTACTTGTGCGCGTTTATGCAATGTTCTAGTCTTTTCCAGTAGTTCCAGTTTGCTTTTGAACATAGCTGGCCTACACAGAAGTTACTTCAGGGCTGCTAATAATAAGTTTCTTTTATGACATGGTTCGCTCTGAAGAGGAGTCTATCATCAGAATGCATTTGTTGGAACGTTAGGACCTATGACCACCCCAATGGGTGATTTTCCGGACAAATTAGGTAATGGCGTCTCTTTTAAAACAGACGAAATGAGCTTCAGTCTTCTACTCGCCATCGGTAAACATACATTTTATTTGTTCTCGATTCCTGACTATTGCAGAGCTCAGAAGATGCTGTATCCACAACTGTGACTCAGTTGCAAATGAAATTGTGGCCGGAACACGGAGTCCCCTACTTGGCGGATTTTACTGCAGTCATCAATGAATACCAAAAACTAAAAGTGATTGAAGAGAACAGAGGTGCACCCACCCTAGTTCATTGCAGGTTGGTACTGGCTTTTGCTCTACCAAAATATGTCTGGCATATTTAATCTAGTTTTCTTCACTCATACACTCTTTTATCGAAGCTCATTCTAATCTCGAAAAACTTATTGGTCACACAAGTGGTAAAACGGACGGTTTTTATATAGTTTTGTGAGTCAAACATTGGGTTCTCTGACTCTAGCTTATGTTTTTCTGTCTACAAGTACGAGCTTCTCCGTATGACCTAGAATGCATCAAGTTCTTTTAGTGTTGTGTTTAACGTCTGGTTAGCTGTATGCGTAAATTTTCAGCTAGACAGCATGAATTTAAACACCGCGTTAAACTTTATGTAACTGGATCGGTTTGTTATCTGGGGCTTATATTTTCTTGAGGAGAGCAGTGTCCAGTAACAAATAATGTCGACCGGATTTGACGGGCGATCCAACCTTTGGTTAACAATCATATGAACCCACCTCAAAATTGAGGCGTGCACTTTTGATATCATAAATGGTCACCTAAAGAATTCGAGGTTAAGAACCAATGGAATGGACGAACATTGTTTCCTGTGAGTTGACCCGTTGTTTGGCACATTATGAGTTGATGGAGTTCAACAGCAGATGAACAGATTAACTCACCCGCTAGGAGAAGAACAGAAAGAAAGAAATCGGGGCATACTGAATCACTAAGTCAAATAAATAGCCTCATAATCAGACGAGTCTTGGGAACACAATGGTTTGCAGGTCAGCTCAAGTATAGAGGGTCATGTAGATTATTTTGGACGTAGAATAAGCAGATTCCATTTCCATATGCGATCTTTTCTGGTTCGAAATTCAAGGTATTTTGCGGTCAAAAATCAGTCTTCTGAAGGCCGGGATATTTCTGATGACATTTCGCTTGCCAAAAGGCACAAAATTCTTCCAGATTTGAATTGAATGGAGGGACAACAACAGTACTAGTATACTTATGTTTTGTTTTACTCAACTTTGAAACTCTGCTGGCAAAGGATGAGTCAATTTCAAAAATATCCGGATTGCATGCGGCCAATGTAGCGCAGTCAGCAAGGGGTTGATGGGTACGGCTTCATCCGCTTGCTTTTTCGCCATAATATTGTCGCAGAACGATTGCGAACCCGGTAGTTTAGCGTCGGTTCTGACTGTTAGGAACCAGACAGTGTGAGCAAGGAAAGGTGGTTTGTTTTTTCATATCCCAGTTGGTGGAAGAAAGGTCCAAACCGGCATAGTCAACTCGGACGACGGAACTTACCAGAAGGAGGATAAAACAGCAGCGCTTTCCAACGTATCCATCAGACACCGCCGTTCTAAACTATTCTCAGCATTAACGGTAAGTAGCAGTGGTCAGATAATTTAAGCCTGCGAGCACCGTCAGTGTGGGGAGACAGGTCATATTCAATCCTAGCTCTCAGAAAGAGTTGCTTTCAAAGGCCACTCTCTCTTCTTGGTGTGCAGTGCAAACGTATAGATGTAATACTAATTTTCTAATTCTTGCCACGCTTGATGATTTGGAAACCTCAAAAAGTCCGTATACTTGAAGAAATCAACCCAGTTTATGAGCTCTCCGTGAACATCAAGCAACCTAAGCTTTAGAGTAGAACACACTGTTGTGGTAAGCTTTTCAACATGGGGCAAGCTGTGCAAAGTGCGCACATCCATTCCATCCGTAGCGACTGATGATTAGCTAAACAAGGACGTACACAAACGCAAAAGTAACAGAGTGGTTTTGGTATTTGTACTGGGTTTCTCTGTATGACTTGCGCAGAAGACACTGTAGGAGACAAAACACTGAGCCGCCGTCAGAGGAAGTGGCTTTGGTAGTTCAATATAAGAGCTTGATGGAATCAAGATCGCTTAACATGCAAGGAATTTTGGCAATGTTATCTGGTCTTCTAGTGTTAGTATTTCAACGAAACCTCTAGAGTAATTCAGCTTCGGCTCACTATTTGTGAACGCGCAGAAGACACTGTAGGAGACAAAACACTGAGCCGCCGTCAGAGGAAGTGGCTTTGGTAGTTCAATATAAGAGCTTGATGGAATCAAGATCGCTTAACATGCAAGGAATTTTGGCAATGTTATCTGGTCTTCTAGTGTTAGTATTTCAACGAAACCTCTAGAGTAATTCAGCTTCGGCTCACTCTTCAATTTGTGAACCCATGAATGTCCATACCCCTTCAAAGATTTCTTTAATCATCATTCGAAAATAGAACGTAAGATTTCATTGAGTGGGCAACAGGGTGGAGCGTATCTTCCGTTCATCCCAGGGGCTTTGGAACCTTTCATTTCCAGTTCTGCGTCACATATTAACAACCATCGTGTTCGCAGCATGTAACCATTCTTAAAAATTCAATTTTGATTCCTTCGAATTCAGTCATTCATGCGATTTTGTAATATGCCTGGGTTGCATAAGATTATCACACTTAAACGAGCTTTATTTGTTAACAGAGGAGCACAAAGAAGAATGATAGGAAGGGTGCAGTAGTAATGGAGATTTGCGCGCGACTCCGTTCAACGCTGGTCACTTGTCTTAATATTCTGTTCGTCCGATGGTTCCAGCAGCTCGCCAATCACTAGGGCTGGAGATCAGCGGAAACATACTAGAACACCTTGTACCGTATTCAACGGTCTTTCAAAGGCTAGCAAATCAAAATCAGATTTTATTTGACTTTGGCTACGTTGACTCGTCCTATGGGGATCGCATTATTAGGATTTGTGTAGATCAGTGAAGCTCAGTCACTTTTCATTCAGTGCATGAGGCTGAAGTACATTCAAAAAGAATTAGGCAATGCCTTTGCTAGAAAATGGCTCACCCTTCTGTTGAAACACTTTTCCAGTCGTGAGTTGTCACATGGATGACCAAGGTCTAACAGAGTTCACCCTCACACTGACATTTGGTAAATTACTGTTGTGCTGAACTGTTAGCATTTTGCGCTCACATACAAATTAAAGTCACAAAGACAGTTATGATGTGGCTTCAAACAGCGAATTTTCTCTTCAAAACCTCGACTTTGAATCCCTCTGAGTTCACTTTTAAGTTAGCTGCTAGCTTCTCCGTCAAAACTGTCCGAATTTTCTCTTCAAAACCTCGACTTTGAATCCCTCTGAGTTCACTTTTAAGTTAGCTGCTAGCTTCTCCGTTCAAAACTGTCTAAGGGATCAAAAATACACTTTTTTGGAGAAAGTGCAATGAACACTTTAAAACATAGTCAGACCACAGTGGGAACAAGATGAGACACAAAGTCAACGGAAAGGAGGCCAAAATGCCTGATTCCATCGTGGAAGAGATGGCCAAGCTAGTTCTTACTTTTCATGGGTACTGTTCTCTTGATAACCTGAGTGAAGTATACTCGGGGGATGAAGCGGAATCCCCCTGACCTTGCCTGACCTTGCCTGTTAAATGTTCATAGATTTCCTACCCACAAGAAAATTTACCTGATGGTCTTCCGGAATTCACTAATTAAGATAAATTATGAATTAAATACCACATAACATATTCTGCATAGCATGCACCTGTCCTGTCAGAAAAATCTTCTCCCTCTTTCTACAAAGCACCGGTTCCGCCCGCAGTGGAGTTTTCATTGCCGCAGACATCATCAAACGACAACTGGATAGTGGTGAAGGTCTGTTTGACATTCAGGGGACAGTGGAACTGCTTCGTGAATGTCGCATGCATATGGTTCATAAAGTGGTGAGTCAGGCACCTAGATATACATCACTTTTTAGGACAGACCAATGCTCTTTAGAGTATAATTTTTTCTCCACATTGCGTATCCGGTGGTCAATTTGTTATTTCCGCTAGGTATAATGCCCTTAAACGGGAATCCAAAGTATTCGCTAAAAAATCACCAATAGAAAGATATCAGGTTTGCTCTGATCTATTATTTTTCACCGTATTTTATCCAACTTGGGATGCAGCATTATAAAGCAACCATAACGATCAGAGGGTAAAGGGGCAAAATGTTACGAGGGTTAAGTACATCAGTCAGAAACACCACTAAATTACTTACCTGGTCCTTTATCGGCCTCCTCTTTCGCTATTGGTTTCCCCTTGTGCCATCCAATCTTGATCAAATACTGACTGACTTGTGATAACCATAACCCAGTTAGGCATCGAAACGGAGGGTTAGCGGGTTCTAATACTGGTCTGTTCGTACTCCAAGCGACAAGGAGTTCGCTCAGAAGTTTAGCGTGCATACAGACAACACAGAGGCATGCCCACTACTGCTTGAAATGACTAAATGAATGAAATTGGTGGTTGATCAGATGGTCGCTCAGGAGATATCGCCAGTGTGCGCCTGACTATGTGCCTCCTTGTCTGGGAACGAGGCGTCTGCTAGCCGATTCCCAAGTTTGGTTCACAGATCAACCATCATCCGATCAGTCACCAGTAAACACATCGACACATTGAATGTAAGTGGAACGATCACTCTTGGGTCCCAACAGGCTTGATGTGAAGTCTATCAAACTGCATCAGTCTATATGATGATCATCCGTGAAATCGCTCGGACAATTTGTGCAAGTGTATCTGAGTTTTTCAGAAAGTCAAAAATTAAGGCAGTATGTGTGCTACTATATTTACTTACCTTATATGGGTGTGACGTTTTCCTTCATGTGTAAAAGAACTGACTGATTGGTTGGTCTCTCAACCAGTTACTGTGAGCTTCTTCGTCGAAAGTAAAACCGATAACACCGTGAAGCTTGTAGTGTCATCGTTGAATAGCTTGGTGAAAATGCACATCGAACCATATGATGCAGAAGATGGCGTTGCAAAATGCTGAAAATCGCATTCAAAACGAAGTCCAATACTATCAACTGTTTACTCCGTCAGCAAATTCACACGTACAGTGAAGATACTGGCTCCAACAATGTGTAATGACGGACATTAAGAATGAGCTGTTACTTGGGGTGAACGTGTGAGGAAACCTACAAACAGTTTTGTCGCTGTTCTCAGGATTCAGTGTCCAAGTCTTGATCCTGATAGCACGTCCTAAACCTGATTCAGCGCTGATTGGTGTGGTCGTCATGGTAATATCGTTTCAAAGAGGCTTGATAAACTATCGGTGGATTTACTTCTGGTCAACGATTTGCTTTTGACACAAAAGCTCCGATCCCAAGCATTTTTCAATGGATTTTCATGGTACCAGTTCCCATTAAGACTTTCTGGGTGTTTTAGAACGTAGACGTGTCAGGCTGCTTGTGGTAAGGAAACATTCTCGGGCATCAGCGCCAACACCGCTATTTCTGATATTCATTTGATGTGAGTATGCATGGGTCGCCTTCTTGTTCTTATCCTCATTTCGTTCCTTGCCGATAACCCATAACCCATCTCTCATCCCTTCTAGAACCAGTATGTGTTCCTTCATCAGTATGTGAAGGCGTTGCTCAATGGAAAGGCATGAGCTCTCTAGAATACCTAACAAGTAAGTTTGGCTGCTTCACGTTTCATTGTGGTCTCAGTGAGCTTCTGAAACGGAATGTGTCAAGAGAAGTTTTTGGTTAAATGAGATAAAATTTCTTCTTTTGTGGTGCGGCTTTCCATAGATGACGTATAAGCCGGTTTTTGTAGGTTCCTAAAGACAGTGAGACTTCGCACACGGCCAGTTTATCTATTCTTCATGGTCGTTGGTTTGTTCGCTGCACTGGGCAATTCGATTGCAAACGTTTCATCGAGGTGAAATAATCAGTGCGTTATTGAGGGGCGTAGTGGTGCGTGCAAAAGACCAACATCCCAGCAAGAACAGCCAATGAGGACCGAATATTGGATTCACAAACAAAGGAACAAAAAAAGAAACAAGGAACTTCTTGGAGCCAAATCAATAAAGGTCACGATCCGGGAATTGAAATGACAAAGGGCACTCTAAAATCGACCAGATTACGAAATCAGGGGATGTAAAGCTCAAACTTCACTCGGGCTTCGGCGAATTGGGACACAGGACAACGGAGCGATCTAATCGCGATCAAAGATCATCCCCTGCTAGCAGCACGTATATTAACACACGCGTAACACTACTCAACGCACAACCACCAACCAACCGCTACGCACCACTACGCTCCCCAATAGTACACTGATGATTTAATCCAATTGGTGATCAAACGTTTCCAGTCAAATCACCCAGCTCAGCGAACAATCCAAGGACCATCTACACTACACGAGCTACCAACATTTTCCTCTGTAGAAAATCTATTCTTCATCTCTGCCTAGACAAATGCAGTGTGATCGTAATCGCTCGAATGGCTAATTCGAGCATATTTGGTTTCAGAAGAAAGTGACCCCAATTGTTCTAAGTATGCTGCTTCTGTGGTAGGAGATTAGCCATCGCCTACTGTGACACTGAAAAATTAGTTTGCGCAAACCGTCGGTCAAAATGCAACTTGTTACCGGAAATCCAGAGAGATCATAGAGTTCTAGTTGAGTCACCCGTGAACACCAGACTGATTTACAAATGGATTTATTTGGACTGTGAAACTTTTGAACAACTTGCTATCACGTGAGGACTCGTTCGATTTTAAGAATGATCTAGAATCATTCCTGATCTATCACTAGATCTTAGGGTCGGGTTTACCATGTTACAGTAAGGCTGTTTCGTCGTGTGGGCGCGAGACGTGGACTCTGAGGATAGACGGTGTGAGGTGTCTCCAGGTTTTTGATCACCGATGTCTCAGAAGCGTTGCTGGTTTTGGATAGTGTCAGAGTGTTAGTAAAAAGGTGATTAGAAAATATGGGTGTTTGGTTTTAGTCGAGGAAGTATCCAGCACCATCAACTATGATGGTTCGGCCATGTGTTACTCTTGCCGAAAGACCGTCTACCAAGACCAGTGTTGTTCTGCGTGCCCTATTCAAAATGGCGGAAACTGCGAGGTGTGCAATGTACGATTTGGCAGAAGGACTTGAAAAAGATTGTGAGCAGGTTGGGTGTTGTGGTGTTGGGGTCCTGTTGACCCCGTTTGGACTTAGCGGCCAGTCGTTATCATTGGCGTTCGTGCTGTTAATTCCTATTCAGAAAGTCTGGTTGAGGCTTGCAGGTGTGAGCATCTCAGAATGCTTGACGTAGGCTCCCACCCAGTCTTTTCTCTTCTTTTCACACTAGGGCTTTAAATATAATTAGGCGAAACTAATGGTTGTACGACAATGAAGCATTAATGTCAACACTGATGTTGCTGTCCTTGATGTTGATCCAATCACAACATACCCTGGTTAACTCACAAGATCTGACTAATTTTGTTGTAACTCCCAAACAGCTCTTTCTCCCTGTTCATAGGTACCACTGTTTGTTTTGACACTCTGCCCTCTTTTCCAAATTTTTCTACTTGCATTACAGTGTTGCGTTTGACCAACAAATGGGGAAGCATCATGCAGTTTAAATCACTGTAGAAAAAGACTGATCGAGAATGGCCTGGATTATTTTTTCCCCGTCTGACGACAGTGTGTTTTCTAGCAACATAGTTTTATCCGGCATTCCATTGTAAAATTGTTCCTTTGCGTCTTGGCTTTTGTGTGCGCTTTTCGATGCAAAATGAACCCTTATATCATGTGGCTGCCTGTTTTCAGATTTCACTGAGTTTATTTGATTTATCCTATCATTGTGGGCCACCATGGAAAAACAGCTTTCTAACTGGGTTGCATGTTTGAATGTTTCACAATACTGAAGCTTGGAATCAACAGCATGGTGTCTTGTTCTCAAACCGGTGGGTGTATACTACAACCGTGCATGACTTTATTGTGGTTGGCATGTGATCCTTGATGCGAAACCAAGTGCACTGATCTCCGGGTAGTCGTTCGTTTAAAATTCCTGCTCAAGTGATCTATCCCAATACATGGAAGCCGCACAATTTCGATCTTGGTCAGTCTCCAGAGTATTGAATGTGCTCCTCATCGACAGTCTCTTCCGTGAAACTGGAAATGAAGCAGTCGAATTTTAATTTGCGCTTCCCATTTCACCGATTTCTTCGAGTCTAATGTGTGACATAGCTTTCTTGTTCCATAATTCCGGCTCTTAACATCTCCAATCGTTACAAGCAGATTGACAGAAGATTTACAAAAGGTCCAAAATACAAGACTAGTTATAAGATTAACGAAAACGCTTCGGCACCCCATTATCGGTTTCTCCCTATTGGCTACTTGTCACGTGGATGCGTCCATGGATTTCAATCGATCTAATTAAATGCTGCAAATTCAGATGATGATAAGCAACCATCCGCAAATCAATATGATACTAACGGAAAGGTAGACCGTCTATTCTCAGAATTTTCTTCTTGAAAGATATTAGAGGGACAGTTTGATTACAGACCTTTCATCACCAATCAGGGTGGCATCATTAATGCATTTTTAGGGCATGCGGTAGATCAGAGCGGTGTGTCAGAGGTTGTGATATGACTAGGGGTGTGCGGTAATACGCATGCTGCTAATCGAGGCTGATCTTCGACGGAGGATAAAAGATCAACCAACAGAACCACCCGAACGAACAAGCAATTCTAATAAAAGTTCAGCCCAGGCCAACAACACGCACCGAACTTAAAATCGATGACGCACCAGTAGGACCTACTCCGCTCCTTAAAGAAGCACTGGTGATAAACTTTTTGTAATCAAATCAGATCAAAACAACGACCATGTAGACGTTGGTTCTTCGATATGATACCCTTCACTTAGACTGAGTCTACCTGGTGTAAGCATTTCGTATTGTGCACCGGCCTTCGTTTACGTAGGCAGTCGGAAAGGGCTGATGCAAAGATGACCCCTCAAAACTGTTCGAGCAAAACCAGAAAAAAAACTACAGTTTTAACAATATATTTTATAGCTTAATCCGTCTTACCGTTCGGCATTCCTGGAACACGTTAATTCACGTTAATCCGTTACAGATTCCCAAAATGTGGTGACCTGAGTGTTTCCTTGAACCAAAATTTGCGTCCATTTTTGACCAGACAACAACGTCCCGTTTGGTTTTTTCATTGCTATATCCAGGTGATAAGGCTTGAAGAAATGCACGTTTTCTCGCCTCTAGTGTAACACCTTACATCGGTAACGTCACTTGATGATTCTATTACACGTACACTTCGCCTGCACTTGTCCGTTTCTGCGGGCATCTAAACATTTCAAACACGATCCTGATGACGTAATCGAACCTTTACGCCAGCAGTGTAGATAATTCTTACTTAAGACATTACCGACGAATAAAGTGCCTGCTGGCAGACGCAACAGAATCACAACCAGTGACCGGTCGATCGCCAATAACTCGAGAGCTCGGCCCAGCTATGAAATCTGCGGGGTTTCAAGGTCAGTCGGGCAGATAACAGGCCTTTGTAAATTGAGTTATACTACTTAACTTTGTGCGAGGCGTGAAGTGACAATAGGGCCGCTTGAAAACTACGGGTAATTCAGAGCAGGCATTTTACGCGTTCATGCTGAATTTAAGGATGCAGTTTCCGTTACAACCAATTAGTTGGAATGGGCAGTGGATATTATTGATATCTTCCTGTAAAGATGTACCACCATGTGGCATTTATTTACCTGCCTTACTCCTTGCTTTCTTCTATGAGCCTTAATCATCCTTTCTGGGACAAATTATCGGGACGAATTATTTAAGGGTTTTTACTACTGGTGAAACATGCGAGTAGTGTTTGGTCAGGTGTGAAGGCGCTGTTTTCGCATCCGATGGAAGATTGGTACAAAAGATGCAGAACCACCTTATTGTTGTTCAACATTCAAAAAATTTCCAGAGAATTTCGTTTTTAAAAACTCTGTGCAGATGATATTTCCACTCTCTTGTCTAATAGTTTGTAACCACTTAGTTCGGCGGGGTCAACAAACGACTCCGCATTCAAGGGTGCCTATTCTTTCACAAGCGATACACAGCACACATTTTGCGCTCTCATACATAAATTCAAAGGTGCGTTTTCCTTAACACCAAGTGAGAGCCCTGCGTAACGCGTCCTATTTCGATCTTCCTTAGAAAGTGCGACAGGAAGTAGAAGTTACTAGCGAGCTTCAGTCCTAGCTATCCGCTTTTAACACGGGAATGTTGACTTATTCAGACTTCTTGACTTCTTGTCGGAAGCCACGTTTTCTTCCGCAGCTAGGATAGTGTAACTGCCAGAATTGGTCCTTGAAATCCTAACCTACGGTCGAAGTGAAGATTCGCTTGGAGATTTGCCTCATTGAGTTCACAGTGATAGATAACGGTTTCGTTTCATTCCTTTTAGCTACTGCGTCTACTGTTCACCCTTCGTACAGTGTAAATAAGACAGCAATGTTTCGTCCTACATGGCTTCCAGGGATTCCACCGAGTCTTTGCCATAAGAATCCCTTAATATTGCAGAACAGGTGGCATTTATTTCACAGGTACTTCGTAAGAGTCAAGGTGGATTCACCCCATGAAGTTAGTCGCAAGATGTTTGTCGGACGGAGAAAGGAGTACAATTTAAATCTCCGACTGTGTACTTCAGTCAGTGGGTGCGAAAAATTGAATCTAGGCTTCCAACTGTGGTACCTTTTTTGGGAAAGTCGCCATGCAGCCAAGAGACTTGCGAGAGCTTCAAAGTTTGTCCTTAATACGGACATTTAGGAGGGATTATTTTCGTCTTGCAGATACTTAGCTTGCGAAATGTGTGAGCTTGTCGTTATTTACTAACTTAGTCGTCGGAAGTTATTTTTGCCGCCCAGTGTCTGCAGGGCACCTTTACTATTTAGCGATGCCAGTTCTCCAGCCGAATGACAACATCATAAGTCGTTCCGTTATTCCTGAAAAGTGACCTTGAGGTACTGCGAAACAGTCATTGCTTATCGGTTCCCTTCTTACATCTGATATAAAAGTCATTTATTGATCGCCAAAAATGCACGCAGCCTGGCAGACAACCGATAAGTAACGAAATGATATCGCATTTCGAACTGACTTGAACCATATACTAGGGTGTTATTTTGATTGCCTCTTCCATAAAAGCCTATCACAGCCTAGAACACCTTCAAACGTGGTTCTCACAGGGGCCATTACTTGCCTACACCTTAGAAAGGTGAACTCCGTACCATGAATAATAACGATTGGAATAAAGAATAACGATGGGTTAGTGATCTTCCTATCCGACATTTTTTGACGCGAATTTGGTGGACGCATTTACCCGGGCGTTTCAGGATAGGAACGGACCGGTTATACAAGGAAGCCAAAAAATGTAATAAAACGCCCATGAGTATCTTTGTCTGGTGGGAGGATGGATGTGGCAAGTTCAGTGATAAATACAAGAGCCGTGACAACTCGGGTAGGAACCAGGAGGAAAATTCACAAGCATAAGGGCGGAGTTAGTGAATGAATAAGAGGAATGGCGAAACGATACTCACAACAGGGACATGACACTCAGACGCCTTGTCTATCCGCTGAATTCGAGCACCCCACTAGATTTCAATGCATTGCTATTGCGTCTATACTTTGTTGAAAAGTTTAGTAAGCAAACACGACGAGAAATTTGACAGTAACATGCTTTGTTATCATTGAATGAGACACAGAAGGCCAATCATAGGGTCTGCGAAATGACACTTTTTGATGTGACGTTGTACGCCTTGACGATGCTCAAGCGGAATTTCGGTAAAAGATTTTGGTAAAGCAGACCAAGAAGGTGCAGTTCCAGCTTCGCTTAGGAATGAGCTATCAATATTTAAGTGCCTACCAGTGTCGCATGCATCTTTCGTAATTGATTTCGAACTTCTGGTTCGTCATCTGTTTGTATCCAGTATCGGTATATTAAACTATGTTGGACAGAAACGGATAACAGAGAAATGATTTCATAGGTAACGTAAGTTCCTTAGAAGACTTGAGGTGAAACTTGCCTGCAAACGTTTGTTCTGGTCAATTTAATCGCAAAAGTTGGTCAAGTGGAAGAGGAACTCAACCACAAATGGAGGCACAAGCCCTTTATCAGTAGCGTCTGTGGCGAAGTTAATTTCAACTCTGACGGTGCTTGATTTGGTCGCCAGGTTCAGCGACTCCGTCACATACATTTTTGTTTACCTTTCTGAGAGTCTCCGTCAGCTTGAACCTGACAAGAGTATCTCCTCCTAATTGACTGGCGTTTTTGTTGGCTCTGGATATTATCTGATATAGTTGGTTGAGGGTTGACATTTTGTGTTTCGATTTGTCAATTGCAAACCTGTTGCAATGTTGCCTGATTGAATTTCGTCTGACTGCTTCTGCAGATGTGCTTATTTGTTTTCACTAACTTTTGGGCTTCTTTGGTTGTTATGGCTGCTTACCGAAGGCTGATTGGGTGTTAATCTTCTGATTTTTATTTCGTTACTTTGATTGGTCCATTCGCAGATTCCGTTGTGCTGTGGTCAGTACTTCCAGTTTTTGACAGATCCTTTTTGTGTTATTCCACCATTTGTTTTGATTGGCCTTTCGACTTGTTATTTTTTGGTGTGCAATTAAACAAATCACGTCGAGACACATAATCGCGTACCACGGAATTCAAGGGTAAATAAATATATCTTTTTGTGGTATGGCCTTTCAAGAATACCCTATTCCAATATTCCTGTGAAAATGCAACGCAGCGAATCCAACAAAGCGCAGTGAAGGCGGACAATCTGCATTCCCATTTATCAGAGAGTTTTTCGAACTGATTGCCAAGAGCCTTACAAAAGTCTTGGAACAGACGGTCAAACAATACAAGGGATCTAGGATTAGCTCATGGGAGGGATGATTTCACAAAGTGAGGGAAACCTCTCTTTCTCTGAGAAGTCGCAATCCAACCAGGTGTACCAAATGATGGACGCTAGCTAGAGAGTTTGTCGCATATTGGTGGAGCACGTTTACTAGAGTGGACGTCTTGCGGTCGTGGGGCTGTTTTTTTATATAATGTTAGGATCAAGAAGTTTACTGATCCAAAAGCTAAGCCTAAGCAAATTTAGAGTACCTTTTCGTGTAGCATATTCCTTACTCTGGACTACATTATATTGAGAAGGTACAACTGGACTTAGGTGTTGGATGAGATGTTTCACTGAGCGTTTTGTAAAACGAACAAGTTGAGTTGTCGGGCTGAATTAAGGAAGCGAGTTGAGTAAAAAACTTCCGCCGGTGAGTTTCTAACCCAACAGACTGATCAACCAATCGCAAATGTCCTGGGACAGAAAAAGGAAGGCGTGTTTTAGTCCATCATGGTTCCTCAAATCAAGACATATATGTATTCCATTACTTTCAAGGTTCGTGGAAAGCTGACACACAGAAATCAACATATCAGTTCGTGTATCTGATACAGGATTGTACCGTGGGGCAGGTAATTGGCGTCAAACGGGTGATCCTGAGCGTAACGCTGCCATCTTCAGGAGAAGGAAGACTTTGATACACTTCAACAAGATAACATTGGCCGTTAGCAAGGCGAATCTGGATGTGGAAAAAGTCATGTAATATGACATAAAACAAAAGCCTACTTTGATTCGATAGTTTGTACCTGCAACCACTTGCGTAGAAACCTCCAAAATCTGGATTTCTTGACCACTGACAGATTCCGTTCCCAAGTAGTTTGAAATTTCGGCGTTCAACTAAACAAGGTATCTGGTAGTTACGTTATACCACTTACCAATGATGTGAATGTTCGTATTTCATTGGCAGTTGGACAACGAAATGGTGTATATCCACCAACAGCGACCTGTGGCGATGCTGGGAGGCAAAATATCAGACACAGGCACAGAACTTCTAGTAACATATCAGAAGAGAAGATCTGGAAGGAAAATAAATCGTCGTTGAGGACATCGGTTCCGTGTTGATCAGGTTACTTTCAACATTTGAATAACCACACGGTTGGCCGAATCAATTCTACAGCTGGAATGTGTCGCACTTTCGATTTCAAGAATAGTAAGATAAAACGGAAGCAAACACGGGCCTGGAAACACCGGAGAAACTGCTAGAATTTAGCTACATACATTAATTAGCAAACAAATTTGGTTTTGCTGGAGACTCACCTGAAACGCAGCTAAATCTCTCGTTTATGATTTCTTCAAGAACTGACTTAATCTCCAATCCACAAAGAGACACTGAAACCTCAGGTGACCAGGCATTCGTTGTAAACAAAATCTTACAAAGTAAATCAGTGACGGCTGTCGGGCAACACAATCGGATTGTGTTCGGACACCAGATGTTTAAAAATTGACCGGAAATTCAATGCGTGCCATAAGTATTGTGTCCTTACTCTGAACAACTCATGTTAATTCCTGATCACACTTTCCGTTCAGCTTGCTTGGTCGTTACCCACGTGATTGGTCTAGGCGGCTGTGGTCACAGACTGACTCAATGCGCTGATTGGCTCTTGCCATGATTCAGTGCAAGGCCACACAACCGTTTAATTATTTTTCTATGGCCGAAAAAAACGTGCTTCAATTGAGCGTATATCTAAGTCCGCACACGCAACCCTAAACTGGAGCCTTCAATTGCTCCTTGAAAAACTATTGCGTGAACCTGATTAACTATGCACCGGAGGTAATCTTACGCGTTTTCCCCCATAGGGATTAAACAGTATATGAGAAAACCCCATAAAGAGGATGAGCTTTGGAAGTAATAGAGCCATGGACAAGAGAATATCTGCCCATTGGTCATTATTCTATATGATCACATGGTTCATAAAGAAACAGGTATATTAAAAACACATTTTGTGTGCGATTCCCCAGTTCCACAAACTCCCTGTGTATGGTACGAGACGCGTAGGCAGAAACGGGCGATCACCTGCCACAGGTAGTAACGGACTGATCAGTCAACTAGACAGATCATTTGCGTCCCGACGGATATGAAGGAAGAGTTTTTCTTTCTCAGACTCAAACAATTACGCTTAAAAACCTCCTTTTTACTAACTACTGTCCAAACATTTCTGCATACTTGTTCTAACAAATCAAAACATGATGAATGAAGAGAATCTTGATAATTAAATATGTCACAAAAATTAAAGGCGAAAAGATTTCTCAGTGGTTTCTTGATTGTTCGGAGTTCCTTAGACGAATGCGTCGGAACTATGAGTAGAAAACCAGAACTCATCTTTTTCCTATTATTCTTGAAGTTTCTCTAACTCGCCCTGATTTCATTTGGCCACAAACGACGCTAGTATATCCCAACGCATTCTTCCATATTTCACACTTCAAGGATCTTGCAATTCATAGTGAGAGCCACATGGCATGAGCTACAAATGCTTCTCATCTGACAGTAGACCTAGTACATTTCAGCTTCACACAAGCGCCAATATTTGGATCTTGAATGAATTCTGATAAACAAATCTTCATGAGAAAGTATAATATAGTGATATGTTGGACGGAAAGAAGACAGAACTTACTTACAGTCGTGAGGCACCTTTACGTTGATGGTGACTCCACTAGTGTATAAAAAGCGGACAGCCCCAATCAGATTTCAGAAAAGGTGCCTGATCAATTTGAACTACCGAAGATTAGCTAGCGCATCAGTTGCAAAAATATGACCTTGTGATCAAGTAGCATGGTTTTAGCTGCTCAATTGCGATTAGCCAACACGTGATAGTTGATAAACTTAATGCGTCCAATTCATGATTAATGTAGTCCGCCTCCAGGTCGAGTGGTTGAACATATGATGTTTCGAGCGTGCCTTGTGCCCAATGCTAACACGTACGCTTTGCGGGAGTTTTACACGTGTTGAAATACACTCCCTTAGCGAAATTAAAATCTACCGCACGAGTATTTGTGAGGCCAGAGCTCGGTGTACTTAGATACAGTCCTTCTGATACATTATTATGTGTAGGGATGGTGAGTATTCCTCCTCACCATCATTATCATCGGCAGCATGATATCAGTGTTCAAAACCGATGCTTCACTGCCGCACAACCATGATTTAGTTGAAAGCCTTATTGTAAAGAAAAAAATAAAGGTGGACGGAGGGTGAACTTAGTGTAAGCTTATTAGAATCACCTCGGGGTGCCTACACTTCCAGATGCTCACTCAGACAGTCTGGATAGATAGCGACACCAAAAAAACACCTGACATCCATTAGCAACCACATGCAACCAGGCCCAGTGGGGATGACGCAGTCCCAATCCTGGAAGGTGATAAGCACCGACAGAACAGAAAATTTTTGTAATTTATTTCATACCTCTCTGCCGCTTCAAGGGTTGGTCACCTGTCCGCTTCCGCCACTCTGAAACGGGCGCGGAATACAGCAATTTCTTCGGCAGACGATGGTTCAGCATATGCAACACGTGTCCCAACAAACGCAGCTTCTGGACACATCCTTCAACGGAAGTACCCGTTCGACAACCAGAACCTCGCTTATTACTTGCCCACACAAGCCATGGTCCTGTGATAACGATTGTCGAATACATGAAGATGTCGCAGTTCCGGTGTTCAAACAGGTCGATTCTCACAGCCACAAAACAAAACACTTCGTACTGCAATCTGTCCCTTGTGCTTTGACGCCATAGGTGTCTTAAATTATTAAGCATGACCCGAGCCTCGCAAATTCGTGCATTGACCTCGTCTGTCACACTGAATTTGGAACTAATGAAATTTCCAAGGTGCGCAAAACGCTCCGCAAATTAACGTCTATCCCTGGATTGTAAGTGGCCTGTTTAGTAAGTGCTTGTCAAGGATCACGACTCTATACTTTGTGGGTACAAAGTGCATAACAAAGTACGGGATAACTTTAGTCAGTTCATTCACAAATATCTGTGGCTTCGTTTTCTATTCGAAAAAGAGAACGATATCGTCTGCATATTCCAGATTGATGAATTTTTCTCAGAGGCTATTTGGTGAGAGGGGGCATTGCTGACAGACACTGCTTTGTGTAAGAAAGCCTCAAAGAAAGCCTCGAAAAGCCTCAAAATACTCTTACACGATCCACACGTCCAGAATTGAGTACTTCTCATTCTTGGATAAATCCCACTTTTGACAACTACGTTGGTCATCTAACTAAAAGAAATCGGGTTAGAATGTGAAGTGCACCTTCATCCACTTATTTATCTTGATCACCGGACACATTCAAGTATTCAACACCTCGTTCCTCTTTTTACAGGTCACGGAATAATTAAGTATCCTGCTATTTGTTGCCTACCTTATATAAGACAGTCTTGACGTTCAGTAGGACTTGCCTAACACGGTAATTGCATCACCATAGCAGAACGATGCCCTGTCGTAGTAACAGGGGATTGGGCTTGTAAAATAAATCCTCATAATATGAAATAAGAGGTGCCGGCCGAGGGAGTTTCTCGAATAAAATCCCTTGCAAACAGAGTTTGGAAGGTAGGAATGAATTTAACCTTTGAGATCTGTTTTATAAACGTAAGATCCTGAAAAATAGGAACGGATGCAAATGATAGTTCATGTGGATATTCCCCTACATAACAAATCAGATGAAGGGTTCCGATGGATGATTTAATGTCTTAGTAGTAAAGTCGGTTGTGTGCTGTCATCGACCGGCAAAAGGAGCGTTGTTTCAACTGAGGCCATCAGGAATTTATCACATAAACCTTTAAATGTCCGTTTCTCGTCTTGAGTTGTCAGTCTATACGCTGTTTTGCAAGAATACTCTTTCCTTTGATTCCCAACGATGACTGTTTCTGGGGGTATGACAAGAATAATTGGTATATTAGTTACGGTTGAGTCATGGTAGCACATGGGTGAGGCGCGAGATCACCAGCGAGAAGTTTCGTGGCTGGAATTTAAGCATGGCTTTTCGATTTCTTAAACTGAAGTTCGTAAAACCTGATAGTATCTCTGCCCCCTTGTTTTCACCAGTTTTCACGGTTATTATTATTTCTTATTTCTATTATTATTATTTTATCATTCATTTATTGTTGTTCAATAAATGACTAAGGCACTCACGAAACCGATTGGATCATTAAGCTTAAAGAAATTTGGAGCATTCTGATTCAATTAATCAGTAGAAAACAATCTGACCGACCGGTGGATGATTAAACAGGCGAAATCGTCAGATAACATCGGTCTTAAAGGCTGTTGCATCAGATTACGTGTGTCCACCCCATCTTCATTCACAGTGATGTGCACCGGTTGTCATAAAGTTACTGTTGCTAGCAATTGTGGTACACGTTGTCACGATTATCTAGGACAGGTGCTAATGGGCACATGCACTGAGGGAGTGGTAAAATTGTTAAAACTGTCAGTGATGGTAGCATGAGGGGTGTTGATAATTTTCAATTGAGAATTCATCCTGCAACTGAAGCTTATCTCTGCTGAAAAGCTGGGAAGCACAGTACAGCTGTTTCGTTCTTATTGGGAACCATCGAAAGGTGATCACGTTTCGTCTGGCTCCTGAGTAGCGACTTCTCAGATGGGAGGTTCACTAACCTTATGAAATTATTCTTCCTCTGAGGTGCCTATCCAATGATATTGCTTTAAAGAGTATTCGTCAATTTTACTGAGCGGTACCACACCCCGCCTAAGTGCGAGCTACTCAGTTGCTGTTGTCCGAAAGATTAAGTGTTCAGGATACTATCCAGGAAGTCCAGAGTTTGAGATTCCCTGTAGGTTGACAAGACGCGCGTCGCTGATGTTCCCCAACGAGACCGAAACAGCTGCACAGTGTTTCACGGCTTTCAACGCAGATCGGCTTCACATGCAGGACGAAATTGAATTTGTAAACTATCACTATTGGAAAAGGTGACCACTTTTTGTTGGCAAGTTGGAACCTGATTAACCCACTGAAGGCTCTTTATGTTCTGACCATGGAGTTTGTTTCGTA